AGGCAGATGTCCGTGTGACACCTGCCGCCTGCCGCCAAGCCCTCACATCAAGCATCACGAGAATACCATAATAGCCGAGCTTGTTGTCTGCCAGAATAGAACGAAAGGGAAAAAAAAATGAGGAAGAAAAAGTGAAATGCTCCTAAAAAGCTGCAAAAATGTTGAGAGCTTAGCGGCCAAGCAAGTTGAGCGAAGAGGTGAAAAAGAGAAAAAGATAGGGCTCAACCGGGATTTGAACCCGGGACCTCGCACATTCATGGTGACCATGAGGGTTTAACCCGAAGCGCGAATCATACCACTAGACCATTGAGCCAGTTGTAATTGTTGAAATATGGAGTTGTATGACCTCTCCATATTGGGCATGCTACAGGCAGGAAGAGCAAATCAGACTGTACTTGATCTATCATCCTCTCCCTGCATTAATGCATTTTCTTCCTTTCATGTCGTGGCGTGAACCATTGCAACATTCAACGCCATCCCTTCAAGCCCTCTTCCTTCATTTTCGTCCCGCGCTCTGACTTTCGCGCCGCCCATGAAATTGCTTGTGTGAGCTTCGCAAGGTCATACCTTGTGGTCAGAATCGTGCGCGCTCCACGATGACGTACAGACTCTACCCGTTATGTCGGTCGCGGGGACCGCAATAAAAACAAAGTCGATGAAACCTCGACCATGAGTCCATCTGCGAAAGCAAATCTCGAACTCCGACGGCGCAATGCGGACCAGTTGATATTTTTAAGAATGCTTCAAAGCCATGTGGTATCCAGGGATGTACCGCGACTGATTGGAACAGCAAATGATCTCTCCAAGGATGGTGCTGTTGCTCTCGGTGAAGAGATCTGACAGACCGAGACAAGAACTTGATGATGTGCGACTCCGACACAGGACAAAACGTGCCAATCGCAAAAAAGGCCTCTAGCCTTTCCTTTCCGCAAAAGGGACTTTCCCGATTTCCCATCCAAAAATCCCATGACCCCTCCCAGAACTCCCCAGATTCACCTGATCTTCCCTCCCGTTTTGCATTCCGGTCTCCACGAACCCCCAGAGCCAAGACTTCAACGCCCACCCCCAAATGATCTGCGGCCAGGACCATCTGTCAAGAACTTCATCAATGACGCGCTCGATCCGCCTTGCTTCGACTGTCGAAACACCTGCCGTTTTGATAGGTTCACGACCGGTATCGCCAAGCTGACCCATCCTGGCCGTTACGGGGAGTCGGGGTCTCGGCGACCGTTGTGAAGGAGAGGACCTGACAAGGAGAGGCTGGGCTTTGTGGATCCCGGCATCAGAATGACATCAACCGATAACGATAACGGGGTCCGGAGGTCCGGTAAGATAGTCTGGACTCTGGGCGCGGTCGATTTTATTTCACATATATAAACCGAATACCCTGTCATGGGAGTCATATTTCGACCTCGAGATCTTATCACCATCAACAAACAGATAACCGACTACATTTTCCAAATCGACACCGGCCAAATCATTAATAACCTACACAAACACCATCAACAACCGCCACCACCAACAAAAAGCCATCAAAATGCTAGCCCGCCGCGGCGTAATAGCCGACCAGCTCACCGACTCCCAAGTCCAAGAAGTCCTCGACAACAGCCCCAGCACCCATGAGACCTTACGATCACAATCCCAAACACGATCACGATCCCGTTCACAGTCCACATCCACCCAAAATCCCTTTCCCTTAGAACCCCAATCCCAAGCCCAAGCGCAGCAAAGCCAAACCACCACCACCGCCTCAAAACCCAGCGACATCTTCTCCCCCGCCACCATGGAATCCGCTTCCACCAAGAAACCTCTACTACAAGGATCCCAAGGAGGAAAACGTCACAACCACCACCAGTGGGACGCTCTCCCCGGCATCACTTCCGAAGCAGAAGTCATAAGACAGGTGAAGGAGATGCAGCGCGAGCAAGAGCAGTGGGAACGGGGAAGGGGATATGCCGATAGTCATGAGTATGGGGGGATTAATCGGCCGCAGTCGCAGTCGCAGAAGCCGAAGGCGGTGGTGGAGGGGCTGGAAGGAGGGCTGGTGGGGAGTACGGTTACTTTCAGGGAACAAAGTAAAGGGCGGGGACAGGATGAGGAGGGACAGCATAAGGGGAAGCAGGATAAGGGGAAGCAGAGGGAGAGAAGTGAAAGTAGAGGTCGGAGGGGACGTGCAGGGGAAAGAAGTCATGGTAAGTCAATATTTGGATCTGTATACGGATATGATATTGCGTGGGAAAGATATGCTGACATGTTTCGGGATTTTACAGAGTCGAATACAACGGCGGGAGATTTTCAGAGTCAGAGTCAGAGTCGTTCGAGGGAGCGTTCGTTGTTGGTTGGGACTGGAGGAGGAGAAAGAACAGCAACAGAGGGATATGACCCCGTTGATTACGATCGGGGAGCGTATGTGGAGACTAGTAGAGTTGGGTTGGAGTAGTCGTCACTTTTCCCTCAAACGACTTTCATCAGCTTGCTGTGTTGTTCAAGACACAAAACCACAATATCTGACAACGAAACAACTCGCATATTCGCATCTATCAACTCCTGACCACAACTATTACAATCCACCCAGGCCATCACTGCAAATTAACAAACAAACCCCCATCAACCAGCACCTGCGCACCAGTGACATACCCACTCAACTCCTCACTAGCCAAAAACACCGCCGGTCCACCCAAATCTTTCGGCTGTCCCAGTCTTCCCAACGGAATCCGTCCCTCCATATACCTCCTCTTCTCCCCCGTCTGCTTCGTCCCGCCCTCCTCCCCTTCCCTCCTAAGGTCTGTTTCATTCAACTGCGTCTCCACAGTCCCCGGCAACAGCGCATTACATCTAATCCCATATCGTCCCAACGCGCACGCCGTGCTTTGCATAAGACTCAAAACACCCGCTTTGGTGGGCGTGTAATGTGTTTGCCCGGCGCCGCCTACTAAAGCGCTGATGGAGGAGATTGCTATGATACTGCCCCCTGGTGGTTGTTGACCACGCGCCATCTGCCTAGCCGCAGCTTGGACTAGATAAAACGCCCCGTCGAGGTTCGTGCGGACCGTATTCGCGAATAGGTCGGGCTCCATGTCCAGGAATTCCGCGAATTGGCATATCCCCGCGTTTGACACGCATATATCCAGTCGACCTGTCTTGAAAGTGTCGAGAGCGAATTGGACTAATTTCTTTCCGGTCTCAGGGTCGCGGACGTCACCTGGTAAGAGGGCTAGGGTGCCGATTGTTATGTGCTGGGAGGAGTTGGGAGGCAGGGAGGATTTGAGAGAGGCGGCTTTGGCTATGAGAGAGTCGACGTGGACACGGTCAGAGGGGAGATCGAGGTGGTTGACGGCTACGTGGCAGCCTTGAGCGAGGAAGGCGAGGGTTATGGCGCGGCCTATGCCGGTTGTTCCGCCAGTTATGATGGCGGTTTTGGAGGCGAGGAGGTTGGTTGGTGGCATTTTTGACGGTAATCGGGGTGGTTTGTGGTTTCCTTGGGAGGAAGGAAGGAGGAATGGACGAGAGAAAGCCTGAGGGTTTGTTGACTACTTGGTCGATGAGGTGGGAGTTGTCAATGCTGGTGGTTGGGATATAGGGGGCTTTGAGATGGTTTCGAGCTTGTCGAGAGTGCTGATGTAAAGGAACGTGACAGTCGAAGAATCACAATTCCCTCTCCTTCCCAAGCTTCCCCAAGATCAACCAATGCCCACCAAATCTCCGCATCATCTGATCACCATCGATACCCCCATCTCATATCGCGAGGTTGCATCCCATCCAATTCGTCCAGCCGATAATCATCACAGGCTGAAGAGCTGATGGTGTCTTGACAGTTTCAAAGGTGAAGAGGAGAAGAGGGGAAGAGGGGAAGCAAAGAATAAAGTGGGCCCCAGCCCCAATTTGACCCACTATAGCGGGGCCGGGGTCGGCTTCCCCCACTACGGCTCGGGGGATATTACAGCGAGGTAGGCGAGGTCGACCGTGTCATCGTCAGCAGTTGCTCATGACCCCTTTCTGTTAGAGAGGAAATTGTCTTGCGATATGGATACTATACTTCATGTTCTTTGCTTAAAATTATAATCTTACGATCAATGGAGATTTATCGTGGTCTGAAGTGAGCGAGTCCCGACCGGCAGAGCTGCCGTAGAGGTTCTCACAATGACGTCAGTGTCATCCCAGGAACAAGACATCGCATCAAATTGATTCAGTTTCACATGTCTCAAAAGGCAAATGATAGGATTGATTGTTGATATCATTCATAACAAAACTTCCATAAGCCGCAAAATACAAAGTTACTCTTCACAACCCTACGAGCTCCTAAGCTCCTGAACCTTAGCCACAAGCCCATCAACCACCCCATCGGCCTTCCCCTTCTTCTCCTCCGTCACACCCGGCGCCGGCGCTGGCTTTGTCTCCTCAGCACCCGTCACATCCGACTTATCACCCGCAGGCGTCAACGATGCCGCAGGTGGTGGTGTAAGCAAATAAGCACTGGGAATCAACTTCGCCCTGGCCACAGGGTTAAGCGTCAATCCAAAGCCCGGTTTATCCAAATCCGCTGTCGTCAAGAATCCCTTGGTCGGGATCGGCTCATCCAAGAACAAGTCGCCAAACACCGGCAGCACGCTCTTTCCGTCTGCTGAGTTGGCCAAATACTCCTGGAACGGCGTGTTTGGCTGGCTCATGACAAAGTGGTAGCTATAAGGTCCACTGGCGTGCGGGACAACGGGGATGTCGTAGGCGGCCGCCATGGCAGCCACACGGAGCAACTCGGTCATGCCGCCGAGCCACATCACATCCGGCTGGATGATATCCAGGTTTCTGCCCTCAATCAGCTTACGGAATCCGTAGCGGGAGTACTCGTGCTCGCCCGTGGTAAACTTGACGGTCGGGTGGGCGCGCTTGATCTGCTCGAAGCCGTCCGTGTCATCGGGGGAAAGACACTCCTCCCACCAGTTAATGTTGAGATCCTTGGTCTTCTCGACGATCTCAATTGTGTACGACACGTTGAGCGACATGTAGCAGTCCACCATCAGCGGGAAGTCCGGGCCGACGGCCTCGCGGTGCTTACGGAGGAACTCAATGTTCTTTTGCAGGCCGACATGTCCTTCCTCCGGGCAGTAGGGGAGCGGCACCTTGGCACCCCAGAAACCCATGTCCTTGGCGGCCGGCGGGTCGGGACCCGTGCAGTAGAAGTTGAGACGCTCCTTGGTGGCACCGCCGATCATCTTGTAGACGGGCTCGTTACGGATCTTACCGAGGAGATCCCAGAGGGCGAGGTCGATGACTGAGATGACGGCAACGGGAAGGCCCTTGCGGCCGTAGAACATGGAGGCGCGGTACATTTGCTCGAAGAGGTGATTCGTGTTTCGGGGGTCGGCGCCGATGAGGAAGCGTTCAAAGTGTTGGTGGACGAGCCAACATGCTGGTGGACCTGTTCGCGTTGTCGTTAGCTTGCATCTTGTAGGAGCTGAATGGGGGTGGACATACCTCCGAACCCAGTTGCAAAGCCAACAGTTCCATCAGTGGCCTCGATCTCAACAAAGAAGGAGCCCAGAACATTGATGCCCCAGCTTGTACGGGAAGCCCGATACTTTTCCCATTGTGAGCATGGCGTCGAGATGGGAGAGTCGATTAGCCTGTGCTGTTAGTACTTCGCCCTCAAATCGGGAACGGTGAGAAGTCATACCAATGACCGCCCTTGACATTGTGGTAATCACCACCCGAGCCAACACCGCCGATCACAAAGGATCGTATGCTCTTGATAGTAGGAAACTGTCTTGCTGTCGCCATTGTGTTTGTGAGTCTTGAGGAGAAGGAGAGGAGAAGACGAGAAGGACACGGGGAAGCAAGAAGTCCATGTATATCTGAGCCAGCGGTAGTTCTTGCCTCGGCTTTTTCCAACACCGGAAAGCACGAGTGACGACGATCACCAGCCATCACATTGTAATTGTCGGGCATGTGGGACAATGATCGGGTAGTGATGTCCCGACGACGAGCAGACCATTGAGCTTGGCGAGCTTTGTGTGGTTGGTAGGCGCGTCCCTGTCAGATCCCGCATTGGAGATCCCATCGTCAACCCCGCCTCCACTTTTCAACGGTGGCCGCATCAACGGTCGCTGCAGTGGAGAGCCTGGAGGGAGTACCGACATTGGCTTTGGAGCCGTGTTTTACAGGAACTCCCATGTTATAGGTACCTGTATGATCCAGACGACCAGTTCATCATACAGTATTCGCCGTTGACATGGGGTTTCCATCATGGAACTCTCCAACTCCGACCCGACGTTCTCGGCAGACAATAGCCCTGTGACTTTCAGCTCTTAATGCCAGTTGCTCCAGTTCTTGATTTCCTGGAATCAATGAGTTGACCTTTGCCGTGTCTCGATATCGCGGTTCGACTTTCTGTTGGAGCGGTAGTGAGATGGGCACGGGTCGAATCTTGTTACACGATAGAGCTCGTGTGCCGAAGCGAAGGAGGTTTGGAAGACTTGAGCATTGGTCGGTTTAAGTCTCGTTCTGTTAACAAAGAACCCCGCTAGACTACCTGAAAGTAGTAAGAACGGAAGTAATCACCGACATGATTCCCTCCAGGTCCCCAGGGTGGCTCGATGTAGTGCAGGGAAGTTGTAAAGGAACAAAAGGTTCGTTCCCCGAATGACTTGGTCCTTCCCATGACTGTAAGCTCCAAGCAGACAATCAAGAATAATGTAGTCCAGGATGTCCTTTAAAATCCTTTTCCTACTTACTGAAGCATATGATATTTCCAACACAATTACATTGAGAGAGACCATCTTTGGTTGGGTGACCTCACTAGCATCAATTGTTCCCACATTTTGTACCCAATATCTACATTACCGCCTCGGTTGTCGGCTTTGTTCAATCCCGTGCTGTACAACGCGTGGAACAAGAGCGCACTGACCGTGACATTAGCCCCGGCAGCCCCAGAGCTCACGGGCACAGGGCGTTCCATCTCACAAGGAGCTCCACCCAGGCCGCAAACATCCGCTGCTTTTCATCCCGAACATCCTCCCCCTCGGTCACCATCACGCCGAGCAGATACAACAACCCTCGGTCCAGATCGGCCGTCTCCAATCGCACTCCGGTCAATCATTATACAGGTATCGGATCGCTTCCGACGAGTGGCGCGATGCAGTCTCAGCCTGCTGCTGCTGCTGCTATTGCTGCTGCTTCGGGTTCGGGTCCCAGATACAGCGGCGGGCAACCGTATCAAAGACCGCCATTGCCAGCTCCATTCCAGGGCAGCAGCACGGTCCGCCGAATTCCTCAGTCTACAGCGACGACGGCCAGCAGAGCGGCGATGACGACGACAATGATCACGGTAACGACCAAGTGCTTCCTAATGGCAAGCGAAAGAGACCTCTTTCTGTATCGTAAGTCCATCGTCTTTTTTGCTTTTTTGCCTCGATATAATGAGATTGTCATGTTGTCTGTTAGTGCAACTGTGCATGATACGGGTTGTGGATAACAATTCATATTGTCCTGGCATTATCACCAATAACAACCACTTCACCCGCGCGTCGACCTTTTCATACCTCGTCTTTTGATATCACATGAAACTGACTGACGAGAACAAGTTGCGAAACGTGCAAAACAAGAAAGGTTCGTCTGATCTCCCATTACACCACCGTCTTACCATCTCGTCGAAACTAATGCTGAACTAGGTAAAATGCGACCGTGGCCAACCAGCTTGCGGGTGGTGTAGTAAAAATGCACATGTTTGCGAGTACAAAGAACGAAAGAAGCCCGGCCTCAGAGCAGGCTATGGCCGCGAGTTAGAGCAGCGTCTCGACCATCTTGAAGGGGAGCTTCGAAGACACGCCGAGATCCTTGCCACACATGGACTCTACCTCAACGGGAGCCCGGGGAGTGTCAACAGCCCTGCTACCCTCAACAACAATGCCAACACCGGGAATAACCATAGGCCAGCAGGCCACCTGAGCAATCCAAGCCTCCAGAGCAATGACCATGGCACACCACGCGATGCCGGGCCCCCTGCGGTTTTCGCTCACGCCGGCCCGGATTCGGCTGAGAGGGCTCTCTTCATGCACAAGCCCTCGACTTCGGCCGATTTTGGTCTGGGCCCTCGCACTCCAGCCGTCGTCCATGACAACTTCCAGCACGCGGCAACTACTCAGCCTCGTGTGCAGCCGGCCATAACCCCTAGTGCTGCCGTCCAAGAGTACTATGGTGCCCCAAGAGCCGTTCCCCACCAGATTGCTGGCCCTTCGCTATCAGCCGTCTTGCCGGCCACGCAAGGGCAAGGAGGCACTGAACAGGAGCTTCCGCCTTACGGTGTTTGTTACGCCCTCATGGATCTATACTTTAAGCACATCCACCCCTGGTGTCCGATTTTGGACCGTGAGACGACCAAAGATCTCTTTTTCGGAGAGAGAATCCCGAATGAGGAAGAAAAGATTCTGTTGCATGCCATTGTTGCTACAGCCATGAGATTCGCAACTACGAAAATGCTCCCCAAGGAGAGCCGGCAGCGTTTCTACACCGCCTCGAAACAGCGGGTCTTACTCTATGGAATGGAACATTCGTCCGTCATGTCGCTGCAAGCCCTGGTGATTCTTGCGCTGGACCTTTGCGGTAGCAGCAATGGGCCCCCAGGATGGAACATTATGGCTCTCATTACTCGAGGGGTGGTTCAACTTGGCTTGGCCGTGGAGACGAACTCCATGACGGTTTCTCCAAGCTATCCCTCAATCTACACTCTTCGCGCCATGGTCCTTCCAGAGCCCCGCGACTTCACCGAGGACGAGTCCCGCAGAAGGTTGTTCTGGATGGTGTATGTGCTCGATCGATACGCCACCATCTCCACGGCGTTTGATTTTGCGCTCGATGACAAGGAAATCGACCGGACCCTCCCATGCCGCGACGAGCTCTGGATCAAGAACCAAAAGGCTGACACTCGATGGTTCCACGCCTCTGACGACGATAGCCGACCCAACAGCAACAACTCGGCCGACTACCAGGTCAACAAGCCTGAGAATCTCGGCGCCTTTAGCTACTACATCGAAATCCTGGGTATTCTCTCCAAGATCCACAAGTTCCTCAAGCAGCCCGTCGACATCTCGTCTCTCGCCGACGTTGAAAATTGGCAGCGCCGCTACCGAGAGCTTGACACCATGCTCAAAGTGTGGAAATTCGAACTGCCCGATGACTACAATCACATGGCCAAGATTTATGAGCACCCCAGAGTTGCTCGTACTTTGAGCTGCGCCTGGATCATGCTCCATGCCACCTACCACACCGCCATCATTCGTCTACACTCATCAGCCGCGTATCCCACCGTCCGTTCGCCCATTTTCTCTCCTTCCTACATGGCCTCCCAAACATGCCGCGACGCAGTCAACAACATTCTCGCCCTGGGCAAATTCGTGGTCGAATACAATTTGCTGTCCACACTCGGCCCGCCCTTTGCGTTCACGCTGTGGGTTGCTGCCCGCGTTCTTCTGGTCCACGGCAGCACTGTTGAGCGCAGCCTCAACCCGGAAATCAAATTCTTCGTTGACACGCTGCGCGAAATGGGTGAGTACTGGCCCGTAGCCACGCGTTACTCGAATCTCTTGACCCGCGTATTAGACGAATACAGGGCCAGTGAGAGCGAGGGCGATGAGGTGACGCCGAGTAGCGTGCGGATCCTGGCGGACATGCGACGAACTGCATTCGATTTGGACTTGTTGATCAGTCGCCAGCCTAGGCATGGCTCGAAACAACATGGAGCTTCGGCCACTGCGGGTGGAAGCGGCATTATGAGCGCAGGCGTCGTGCCTGCCATGAATAACAACGCCAACGGGGACTTTGCCATGGGAGCAGGAGGAGGAGTTAACGATCTGGAATATCTCGACGTCTTTGACTTCTTCAACATGCCTAGGTTCCCTCTGTCAGCTATCGCGCCGGGGCAGAATGTCGGCGGTACGGAAACGAATCAGAATCACGGCGTGGACCAGGTGCATCATATGGCAGGCACAGACGGCAAACGACTAGTTGATGATGGTCAAGGCAGTACCAAGCAGCCTGGACAACCCATGAATGGAGATGCTATCCATGGTCCGGCGCTGGGAGGGGAATCGGGGCAGGGGGTGGGGGAGTTTAATATCATGGATTTCATGGTGTATCCAGAGCGCGATTGGCTTGGGAATTCTCGCGGTTCTTCCTGGGTCGATGCCACGAGATCCGGGACATCTGGAGTTGGAGGAAGGCCTGAGCAGGGGACTGCTGCTAGTGGTCCTAGGACTAGGACTAGGACTGAGAATCGGAGTGGGAGCACGGAAGGCGCTGGGGCTATTGATCGGGTTTAGAAGCCTTCTCAGATCCCCATATCCGATGGAGTGGGAATACTGCTGCCGATTCGATCCCTGTTGAGTATGAGTGAAGCCCGAGCTGAACATGATCATGTTGGCACCCAAGGTACAGGAACAGAAACCGCCGCTCGGTTGACCACTCTCAGGGATGAATAGGGTATTAGTCTCGGGGTTTTTCGGTCGCCGCTGGATCCGAAACAGCTAGATATGGAAGAGGATCTGGAAGAGGGACTCTTTCCCCTGCTAATGACCATGGGACTACCATTCTATGGGACCCCGGCTTGGACTTCCATCTGGGGTGGAAACGGGAGCAAGACAGGCGCGGAGAATGGAGGTGGAAGCGGGAAAGGCGCCGAGACTGGAGGTGGAAGCGGGAGCGGCAACGAGAACGGCGCTGGGGCTGGGGGTGATAAGAACCCTCCACGCTGGCAAGTCCACTTAGTCCGCCAAACAAGGTGCGTAGTGTGTTGTGGGAGGGAAATTAACGTGAGCTGCACCCCCCCCCCCCCCCCCCTCCCTTGCCGTCACTGACATGGTTATATACTTTAGTGTGACCAACAACTTCCCTGCTCAGGATGCATCCAACGCAGAAGACCAGAGGAGTGTCGATACCGAATGTGGCGGATTGTGACTTGATGACGCTGCTGCTGCTGGAACACCCAGAACAAGGCAACAAGCACAGACGGCCACACTTAAGATTGTTTTACCTGTTCTGGAGGTAGACTGTGATACGGCGAGGGAAAACAGGTGACGAGACTAGAATTAGCGCGCGTCCTTGGGTAGTGTCACGGTATATACGGCGCGTTCATACACGAACGCAAAAGTCTTATCGTGTAGTGGTTGAGTAGGTATAGGGATTAGCGTTGCGTGTTTTGTATAACTGGAGCAGCGTAAGGTTTTACGAGTATGAATAACGAAGGAGTGCGGAAGTCCGAGGTATATCCCAACATATATATATTTGGAATACGAAGTTAATGCCATGCCTCTGGTGTTCTTCTTTGAGGGCATTGGAATGAAGTTTTTTGGTTTTTCTGTGTGCCTTTTTCTGACCTTGTTCTTTACCGGAGTACCTTATGTAAGATGTATGCGAAACAAATAGGTACCTACGTATCTGCGATGACGGGATTGCGTTGGTTATCCGGAGGAGGCCTGTAAGCCTGTGAGCCCGTGAGTCCGTGAAAAGATCGATGTTTGAAGCAAATGGATCGATCGATGAGGTGCTATGGGGTGCTACGGGTGCCACAGTGGTGATGATGGCTCATAGTACACAATATTTTTTTGGTATTGCTCTGGGACATGAGGAATGATTATGCTGTGATCCAGGTACCGGGCATGTCTCTCTCGCCTAGGACAAAATGCATAACTCCACCCGAGACCAAATTGTTAATAGAGTAGAGTAACCCGGGAGACCAATAACAACTGCTGACTAAAGCGAAAGTGGTTGCCCAATGGACAGGAGGACTAACTAATATTCAGTCCCAATACTGAGTTTGTTTGTTTAGCTCGAGATCATCCGGTCATTCTTCCTACACTACTGTGTAGGCGTTCACATACATGCTTTATCCATTTCTTTCGGTCTGTGTTACAAGCATTATCTTAACTTTGCATATGCTGTAATGGGATTTCTTAATCATCATGGGTCTTTTTTTTTCTTTTTTTTACTGTGGTGAAGAGATGATGAAGAGATGGTGAAAAGAAAACTTGGATGAATGTTGAGAACTTTCACAATCTCGAGCGCAACAAGGGCCGCCCGTCCGGACTCCAGATGGATGATCGCCGGAACTGCCCGTTGAGTCGGTCAAGGATCTGTTCACTGTGGAGATATTTGCATGCATGCATGCACATTGTGATCCGAAATCCTCGTGAAAAAGAACACCGTGGATCATCCATGTTTGGACTTCGGGACGTCGGCGGGTGTGCGGGCAATGCGGGGAATTCGAGGCGGTATCGTAGCAATTCTTTTTCGAGAGGGGTTCGTCACCGTCTCTTCAGAATCGAGTGTCAAAAAGTGAAGAGGTCATCAATGGAGGAAGGGTAAAGAAGAGGAAGGAGAATAAGAACAACGGGTAGGTATTGATGGTCAGTCGGTCGGTGCAGATACTCATTTCTTTAATCTTGGTAATCAGAGTAATTTTACCCATTCTCGCCTCGTTTCGCTTGATCCCTCGGTGACGACGGGAACGGAGATCATAGTCAACAGCCTTGCGGATGATCCGTTGGCCCTTGGTCGTTGACTATTTTTGGGTGATTTTTCGGGAAAATTATCTCATTAAATCTGGTGGTCATTAAATCGGAAATACTCACGAGTCGTTATCCGTTCTCGGCTTCTTCGTCTTTACTCCCCATTTGTTTGTCAACCATCCCTTTCCTCAGAACCCCTCTTCTCTCGGAATGGCCTCGCCTGTTTCCCCTCTTCTCGCGTGTCTGTCTTGCATGTTGTCTCGCTCGGTCAGTCGGTCGGTCGGTTGACGATTGTTGACTTGTCGGTCGTGGTGTCGTTAGCTTTATCAATGGATTGGGTGTGAGGGGGTTTTGGTCCCAATGGTCGGGACCGGGGGAAGACACAAGGTGGCTAAGCCGAAACTGGTTAATGCGGTGAATTGGGCGGTGAGTCGTCTGTGTACCTCTGTACCTTTCCCAGCTGGCGAGTAAGTGTCTCTGTTAACAAATCCAAGAGGAATAACAGCAAGACCTTAACAAGTGGGAAAGGGCTGACAGCTGTGGAGAGGTGTTGAATGGAAATTGTGTGGAATCAGTGGTGTGAGCGGGTACCTTTTTCGGAGCAACACTCTGGGCCTTTTGTGTAGGAGTCTTGGCTGCAGATGCACTCTGTGCTGCAACGATTGCGCCAGTGTCAGTCATTGGCGTTTCTTTTAGTTTTGCATGTGTGCATTGTGCATTTGGTGACCTGGCGCGTCCTCGACCTCTGGAATGGAATCCACAAAGGACGCCAGTTCTCTTTCTCCTCTTTTGCTCCCAAAGATTGCGGCCTTTGGTGCGCTGTGTTGTTCATACCTAAAAACCCCCAAAAAAAAAACCAAAAATGAAGCACATGAGGACCGGACCGGGGCCTCAAATGGGGACAAGTGGAAGACATGGATCACTCTAATTGTCCATCCCGGCGCGCCACGGGGGAGTCCTGGGGGAGCCATCGGGAGGGGGGTGACAGCCCAACCATTTTGTCGTTATCATTTCACCTTCTTCCTTTTTTCCCTCTTTCTTCTCTCTCTGTTTCTATTTGACTACCTATCTACCCATACCCACCTATCGACTGACATTCTATACCGCCTGCTACCTGACCAACTCGCCTAGAGTCCGGTTTTGCTCTTCTTTTTCCTTCTATATCTTGACCAGGATACCGGCATCAAATATCTACCAGGTTCACCGTCCTTTGCCTGCCGACCCTTGCGCGAGTCCCGAGTCCTGAGTCAACGATCCGTGGTCCTCGTGCTTTTTCCCGACCTTCTTTTTCTTCCTCTTCCAAAGTCTCCGAAACAGCATTCGTGTATCCGTGCACAGGTGTCCCCTACCTGTTCCTTACCGACTTCTACGACCCGTGGTCCCGGTTCCGAAGGCAATCAGGGGTCGACATTTCAAGCAGCATGGTGGAGGTGGTGTTGAAGATCAAGACACCGTCCTCCTCCTCCTCCTCATCCTCATCTTCCCCTGATTCCGCCTCCGACAACCACATACCGACGAGCCCGACGAGTCCAGTATCTGCCCGCCCACGTCCCCACACACTATAGAGATGGGAATGGGAATGGCAGACGCCGTGACCCCGACGACCGCCGATCGCGAACAAGAAGACGTAGCCGCCACCGCTGCTGTTGCTGTTGCTGCTGAGCATACTGAGCCCGCCGTAGCTGAGCTCGTGCCGCAAAATCCTCCAACACCCGCCGCCGCCGCCATGGAATCCAAGGGCGATAACTCCGCCTCGGGGGCACAGCCGCCGGCTATGCGGTGCTGTTGTGGAAGGGAGGACTGCGTCTATCTTAGGCACAACTGTACTCTCCTCAAGAGTGTCGAGCGCGATGTCCATACGGCCGCCAAAATGGGCCAGGTGAGTAATCAATGACGCAGACCTGCTTCCTGTTGATGCGTGCCGCATTCCTTCCATGCGCTCCTTGTGCGCCCACCACCGTCCATCGCTCCCTTAAACATCCCTTGACTTCGCTCCTCTCATGGCCTGCTCTGTCGCGAAACCATCAACCTTCTCTTCCTCACAAAATGCACAATGCTGGAGTGGTCGGAAAGAGCACTCGTAACACACGGCAAATGGCGCGCACGACAACCCAGGCCGGAGGATTGCTTCTCCTCGCTGACCTTTTCCCTTCAGACCCTACTCATCCGTCATGAAGCCTACATGGCCGCCGCCGAACGTGACCGCGCCGAACTCACCGCTCGCATCGAACAGCTGGAACGCGAAAATGCAGAGCTAGAGGAGAAGAACAGGGAAAAGATACACGAAAACTACAGCCTCCATGCCGAACTCGAATCGCTCAACGATACCGTCCGAGAGGCCGACACTCGGATTGACTACCTCGAGACCACCCTGCGCGAGTCACAGCGCGAGATCCGCCGACTGGAAATGGCGGCGGAGAGGGCAGCGACCCTGGAGAAGCAACTCACCATGCTCGAGGAGGAACAGGCGACGCTACAGTCTACCTTGGTCAACACACAGGAGGAAGCGCGCACCGCCATCACACGTTGGAAGCAGGCCGAGAAGGGTATCAACGACTTGCAGGAACAACTGGAGCGCATGGAGAAGGAAGCAAAGGAAGAACGCGATCGACACGCCGAGGTTATGGGCCGTATCGAGAAACAACGAGAAATGGAAAAGGAGCTCAGCACGGCAGCAGGCAGACTTAAGGGCGCTGCCGCCGTAAAATCCCTATCCGAGACCAAGAGCAGTCGCAACGTCGTGTCGCATTTCGTGCGCGACCTCTTGCAGGACAATGCCAACCTACAACTAGGCATTGCCGAACTCCGAGACATGCTAATGACCTCACACGACGAAATCCAACTCCTACGGGAACAGATGCAGTACCACCAGCCGTTATCAAGTAGTAGTAAGCAGCCGGGCACCGTATCAACACTACAGACAGAATTCGACGACCCAGACTCGGCCAAGACACCAAAGATATCACAGGCCGTACACGTCCACCATCATTACCATATCGCCCAGCAGAAGGGCGACTCACGAAAATCAAGGAAGAACAGGAAATCCATTACTTCAGGTACCTTTTCGCCGCCACACATCATCTCAGCACCTACAACACCAGTATCCTCCCAGAATCCCCAATGGCAGGCGGGCCGTGGCCTTGGGCCACCCTTTGTCCCGCGTCACAGTACTCACGATTCCACTTCGACAGCAGCTGGCCGTTGGTCCCTAATATCCGAAATGCCCTCCGAATTTGCGCCGTCCTCCGCGCCGACCTCTCCCCAATCGAACCCCCGGCGCAACTCCGTTTTCGACCGCGGCATCGTCGAAGTGTCCGTACCCAACTCTCCCACCACGAGCGTCGACCCAGCTTCGCCCGAATGGAATCGAAGATCCCACCGCAGACAGGCATCCCAATGGTCGAGCCGCAGCACGGCCATGAACAATTGCGGTGCTTGTTCACCACCGTACCCCGGCCACCGTTCGCTAGCCGGTCTCGTGCTTGCCGAGGAGCTCAACAACGCCATGGGCGCATACACCACCGACGATGTACCCGATATGACCCACGGGATTTCCTCCGCCGAAGACGACACTGTTGAGACCATCAGCGCAAATGGCGACGGCGATGACCCGGCGGTTGCGGGTGACGACACCATCCATCACGATCTCGATTTCCACCCCGAAGTGGCCGAACAAGAACGACCAGGAAGACTGCGGCGCATGACCTCACACGAATCCATCATGTCCCTCTCCAACGGTCTCGACATCCACACCCTCAAGGTCCGCCCGAGCCAACTGACCCTCCGGCCCCTCGGCCTCAGCGCAGCCGGAACCGGAATCAGCAACGTCACGGCCATGCCGACCATCTCGTACTCCAGCGCGCGCGGATCGCGCGGAAGCATGCACGCCAGAGATAACTTGGCCCTGGTAGGACAGCGCCTACCCCGACCCGTATCCACCTCCCAGAATTCGGTCGCCGCTTCTTCTGAGCGGCCCTCCTTCCTCAATCCCAATCGTCGCGCCCACACTGACGGTTTGCATATGTCCTCTTCTTCTGTGCGATCAACAGCCTCCCGTCAGCTGTCTCTTCCTGCCTTGGGTAAGCTAGTCTCGTGGCGGCCTTGGGGCCAGAGCTCTAGCCAGCCGAACAACACCAACGAATCCGCCGGAACAAGATCAGGATTGGAGCCTACCCCGGAACTCCCCGAACCCATAACTCCCACTCTTGTTGGAACAAGTACAGGCACCGGCCTAGGAATCGCCATCGCTCCAAGCGACGGCAAGTCCTCCTACCGAAGCATTAGCTCGTCTACCACCACTGGTACGGCAGGCACGGCGGCTACGAGCGCCACCACGCCCTTGTCGTCTTCCGTCCGGTCTGTGTCCTCTGCGACGACGGGGACGACCATCAAGCCCCGGGCGCCGGGAATCAACCAGCCCGGTGTGATCCCGGGGTTTTTGGTTAAGAAGGGCGGGTTGCCTGCAAAGGTGACAGTGGATGCTTTGGACGGGAGCCAGTTGGGGAGTATTGAGGAGGCTATGAGGGAGGGGATTTAACTTACTGGAGGGGAGACTGGGTATGAGGAATTAATGATGTGGATGATGCGCTAAGAGGTGGAATTGGAAGGATGGAAAGAAGGGGCTGAAGAGGGGGAAATACTGAAGGGAAAGGAAGAACGGGACGAAAAAGAGTGGATTTTTTGCGTATTGCATACTACTTACTACTGCATAGTACAAGATTTTTGGGGATACAGATCAGATCAGATACATGTTTGTTTCAGATTTCTTACTTGTATAATGACCCAAGGGATGGTCAGCGTTCAGCAAGGAGAGAGCTGAAGAAAGAAAGGGGATTTCTTGTCTTGTCTGGGACTTGGGCAGATCTGTATAGGCTTTTGGTCTTTTCATTTGGTTTTTACCTCAAGCATCTTTGCGTTTTCTTATGCATTGCATTAGGGACGGCGTTTTGGGTCAATTACTTATCCAATGTCTTTGGGAAATTTACTCTATCGGTTCAGTTTTGTTGTTTGCTTCTTGCTTTGCACTTTTCTGATGCGTCAGAATCTTCTTTTCTCTTCCACTGCCACCACCAGTCCGTCTCGGAAACTTTACAATGTGGTAACTCGAGCACAGTTGTTCCACGATTGCGTATACCTCTGCCTGTATCCGAAATCCACATGTCGGACACTCACTCACGCATTATATCTCCCGTGCTGTTTCCGCTTCCCGGGCAGCCCCCACTACAGGTACCCAACACAATTCACCACCACCACCACCTCCTCCAAGCTCCAACGCAAACCCGAAAGGTTAGTACCAAGCAAGCCACACATCGGACGGACTCCCGAATCTCGGGACCGTGGGGCGTCCTGGATGGCGTTCAACCGATCTCAGCTTGTGGCGGCTGGCGTGTCTATTACTGTGTTCGTGTTACTATCCCAAACCCAGATGCTAGACTACCATACCACCTCGAGTGAGCGCAAGCCTCGCCCATTGCAAGGCCGCGGACGAGTAATAAATAATGCTCTCGCTACCACCCTCTCTCTCAAGTTCTCAGTCAGACTCACCGGCTAAGCGGCCAAGCGGTCACGGTTACATGCATATTCATAGTTTGGGTGCATCGCATTAGTTGATTTGATGCTCACTGCTTCGTAGGGACTGTTGTACTCTCTCATTCAGCTCCTACCTTGATTTTCTTCGCCTGAGCAGGCTCCTATCCTCCCAGTCCTCCGTCCGGACTTCCGGGGTAGGATGTGGATGTTGTTGTCGAAACGTATGTACTGGGGAAGCAAGTGCAACCCTACCTAGCTCGACGTACTCTTCCTTACCTACGTACCCTTCCCCAGCCTTGTACTACCGCAGAAGCCTACCTCTACCGCCAAAACAACCATTTATTTGGGTTGCTGGCTGAGAGGGCTGGACTACCAAGGTACTACCGCTTCGACTTACTCAATTTGTTTTTGTTCAAGCACTGGATCGGACCCGAGAAACCTTGTGACCCGCGTCAGCTCGTCAGAAGATGGGTCAAAACCTGTTATACCCGGCCCTATACCTGTTGGAGCAAAACGAAACCGAGTGAGTCGAAGCGGTAGGTAAACAAACTGGGGATCTCAAAGCATGACGGACCCGATAACTCGAAAGTTTCGGCTTGCTTGCTTGAGGATGTGGCGTTGCGGAGACGTGAACGGTGGCGTCCCGGATGTTTGGTTTGAGTTTATTGCAGCTGGCCGACCAGCTGGGGTTCGACTCTGCTCTGTCAAGCATATCATGGCCCGTGTCCCATGTGTTATTGACGTAGTGGTTGAGATGGTGTGGTTAGACAAAATCTCACCGGCACTCACGACTTTCCATCTGGGAAGTATTGCATGCAGAGTTCTCCTTTTTTTTTCTCCGATCGAAAAGGTTGCTGGAGAGCTGAAAAGCCCGGAGGTGGTGCAAGTTTGTCCGAGTCATTCCCGGGAATATTGTTTTCTTGTTCTTCGTAAGGCTGACGACCTGACTGGGCCTGATCGGACCTGAACGCGCATCTTGCTGTATTGACTACGACCTATTTCCTGTCTTGGCGTTGCAGTTGCACTGAGGCTCATGTATTGCCTGCGAGCCCGAGTAAGCAAGGGATGTGAATGGTACACTAGGTTGAAAAAACTCCCCATTTATGGTTCATGAGGCGTCGAAGAGGCGTCGTTGCTTGTTGATTTCCTTCATGTTTGATTGGGCGAGACACTCTGTCATTCACCCGGTTGGTCTGAATGGTCCGGGGAGAGCGCACGCAGGAGAGACATTCCGGGAGGGATTACAACCTTCTTTTGACTGACCGACAAACAACAGACAGAAATGGACGCGAGTCTGACTTGATGGACGACTGACAGATTTGCATTATGTCTCGTGCAGTTTTACAAAAGTCCATGGCGACGTGGTTGGGAACTAACCAAAATGACCTACCCCGAGCAAACACAAGACACAGTAAACCAGGGGCAAGCACTACCGAGTCCCGTACTCCGTATTCCATATTATCCGCCATATTGTACCCCATGGGGGAGAAGCAGTTCCGATGGGTTGGGTTGGGAAGGAAACCGAAGGGAGTCAGGTACACCCGTCCCGTATTTTTGTACGACGATCCTTGGCGAGGACCTCAGCCCTCCCTGGCTCCTGGGACCGGGACCGAGACCCAAGAGAATGAGAAAGGTATCGATCGATCGAGGTATAAGTGAGGCTTTCTCCCTCGGGTCTCAACAGTCCATACCAACTTCTATCGCTCATCCCGCTTCACAAGTCCGTCTTTCTTCAGTTCTAATCCACCATCTCAAACAACCCTCACCAAAAACCGCAAAGATGCATCTTCTCCCATCTCTCACTCTCCTCGCCACAGCCTTCACAGCCCTTAGCTCCGCCGCCGCACTCCCTCAGTCCGAATCCGACCTCGTCGAATCCCGCACCTACGGTGGCAACGACAAGTGCCTCTGCGAGGAAGATGCCAACACCCTCCGGGATGCCTACGTGCGCATGATCAGCGCCTGGAACCCGGTCGATGCCAAGTACCTCACGGACGACTTCAAGGACACGAGCGCCAGCATCAACATCTTAATTGGGAAGCCATTGGATGGGTCGGTGCCTACGTTTGCGAATAAGCAGGAGTTTGTGGCTCATATGACTGTTGCGGTATGTTTCTTTGCATCTCTTTCTTCGTCGGTCTCTGAGCGTGTCTTCACTTCTATTCATCTCCTCTTTACTTCTCTGTTCAACTCTCCTTCACCTCTCTCTTTACCTACTCTCAACCTTCCCTTCTCCCCTTTCTACCTGTCCCCATTACTCCATCCTCCCATCTCCCATCTCCCTCTTACCACAAGTAACTAACCATCCCTTCTTACCCCAAAAAAAACAGCCCGACAACCTCCCCCTCCGCGTGACCTTCTCAACCTTCAACTGCAACTACATCACAGTAATCTGGACCGCCACCTTCGGCGTCGCCCAGAAGGCCGTGCGTGGCATCGCCGTTGCCGGCGCCGTCTACGACAAGAAGAAGAAGATGTGGCTGATCAAGAGCGTCGACGTCGAGTGGAACTCGATGGCCTATCTTTTGGATATTGGGGGCAGCTATACTTTGCCTGCGGGACTGCCTCCTGCTTAGGTTTCTCTACCTTAACAAGAGCCGGATCCGGGGGGTTGATGTGAGGACTGAGGAGAGGTGGAACGGGGAGGGAAGAGGTCGCTCTCGCACGGACAAGGGATGGATGGATGGATTGGGGAAACGGGCAGAGAAAGCGCGGACGAGAATGAGAATGAGGAGGGAAGCAATTGGGTACGCGATCCGAATCACGACTTTGGATATCAGGGATGCTGGTGTCCAGGCCCAGGGCACCTTCGGAATGCTCGTTTTCAAACCAACGGCGAAAGGGTCAAGTTGCCAAGGGGGTCATGGCAGCATATCGGGTGCCGAGCCGGGAACGGGCATTCCAGACAAGGTTGGCGGCATTGGTTTACATGCAGGGGACCCGGTGCATCATGTGTCGTGCACGGTGCCTGGCTAATGTTTCCGTATTTTTACCTACATTGGTATACATCAGCTTAATGTTCTGTATCTGTCGGATAATAGTCCCGTCCAGAAGTTAACGGATATCATAATATTAGCATGTCTCCTACGATTGTTTTGAGTTCGTCCATCGGTGTCGTTCACCGTTGATGTGTGTTGTGGAAAGAACTAAATGGTTCTTGGCTTGTGGTTTTCTCTCGTTCAATCGAAGCTTTAGATTGGTAAAATATCATCATGGTTATTGCCTACGGTAAACAATTGCCGAAGTCTACATGGCAGCTATTTTGAGACACATATGCTGTGTCCAGACCTTTCCGACTCGTGTCGTAAAAAGGGCCGCTGAGACAAAACTCGTACTCGGTGTCTGCGCAGCTGCGCTTCGGAGCCTTCGCCGATGCCGTGCGACATCGGAGCAGGTAGGTGAATTTGAATATGGGAAGTTGCTCCGTGGGTACAACAGAATTTGTGAATGGCCTATAAGGGTTACGAGAAGCGAAGCGGAGTGTTTTGCGATGATTTCCGGTGACATCAGCACAGTAGGAGATGAAAGCGTGGTAAGAAGGACTACTCCTTCCTCCATCCGTGTGCAAGTATTTTCCCACATGTCTGTACTGGCCATTTCTTGTTATAGTTATCTCAATCTATAAGAGTGGAACAGTTGATTCCTTACCTCCATAGCCATGTGGGACTGTTATTTAGGGCTCAAACTTTCGAGTGTCCTCATCGTCCGCAGCCGTAGTTTGTGAAGCAGACCGGCAATAACCCTAACCCGAATCAATAGACTACTGGTGCTACCCAAGAAACGGGTGTGTGGGTTTCACTTCCGAGAGGTCAACAATCCAGCCAGAGGCACCAATACTCTCCTCGCCTTCACTTCACTGAGCTGATGCTGCTGCTACATTCGAGGAGGAAGGATAACGCTACGAAACAGAGGTTCAGGTACCTCATTAATATCAGGCTAATTCAGCTTCGGCGTATATTATCCACTTGAGCCGCTGGGAAGCTCCAAATCCACAAGCTATTTTTGCAATGGTACCTCGTGCTTACCGGAGCTCGGCTTCATCCCACCCCTGTCTGAACTTTAATCTTTTTCATCACAAAACATCTCATGAAGTAATTGGTATCAACTCTTCAACCGTCAAAAGCTTAGCTCAGCCACTCAAAACACGAGTTCCCAAGTTAATCTCTACTACCTTTCTTCCAATAAACAGCCCAAAGCTACCTAGCAAAAAGACCAAAACCCCAAAATGGAAGACAATCAACCCGCCTCACCACTATCACCATCACCATCACAGCCATCACCACCACCATCACAGCCATCACCACCACCATCACAGCCATCACACCCAACCCACCCCGAGCTCTCCTACACCACCATCCCCCTCAACACCCCCGCGACCGAAATCCGTCTTCTCGAACTCTTCCCCTCGGCAGACTTCTCCTCCCCGCTCCACTGCCGCCTCTACAACACGCCCATTTCCTCACCCGCTCCTTTCAAAGCCCTATCCTACGCCTGGGGTAGCGACGACAAGACGCATCTCATCTACATTGACTCCAACGACTCCATCGACTCCAACGACACCAGCAATGTCGGCGCCACAACAAGCGTCATCGAAGTTTCTTCTCCCAGCGGAGACAATGGAGGAGAGGAAAAAACTCAAACATCAACGACGACGACGACGACAAAAAGGTGTATAATCCGTATTACTGCCTCGCTAGATACGTGTCTTCGTCATTTACGAGCTATTTACCACTCTTCTTCTCCCTCCCCCGAGTCCCCCTCCCCCGGGACCCCCCTAGCCCTCTGGATCGACCAGCTCTGCATCGCCCAATCCGACTCGCACGAGAAAGCCATGCAAGTCGGGCTCATGAGCCAGGTCTACTCACGCGCCGAGCAGGTGTTGGTCTGGTTGGGTCCGGTAGCGGACGGGTCGGATGAAGTGATGGATGCGTTCGCGGAGCTTGGGAGGGAGTTTGAGAGCGTTGGGGTAGGCTTGGGCGATGCGGCGAGGGTGGACGAGTTGTTGGCGGGGTTTTGCGAGGGTGGTATAAGCGGTGGTGGTGGTGGTGGTCAGAAGGAAGTGGGAGAGGGGGGAAACGGCGATTTGGAAAAGGGAAAGGAGGAGGATGAAGAGATTGGGAAGAAGATTGACGGGGGGAGTGAAAAGAAGATGGGCAAGGAGGTGGATGTGACTGGTGTCGGGGTAGGTACTACCGGTGGAAGTGGTCAGGTCATTGATGATCCGGGCGATTGTATTGCTGCCGGTGATCGCGGTAAGGTTGGGCTTGGGGTTGACCTGCAAGTGGGCGTCACCGGTACAGAAGCGTTGGACGGAGCCGCAGTGACCTGCGCGACGAACGAAGCCAATTCGAGCATTGGAAAGACCCTCGCGGAAGTTGTGGAGGACGGCGGAACGAGAATTGTTCGCTTATGGGCGTCGGGAGAGTTGCAAGCTCTGTTTCGACGCCCATGGTTCACACGGGTGTGGGTCGTGCAGGAGGCCTGTCTCTGCGCCGACACTGTCTTTGTGTGTGGAGCGAAGCCGCCGGTAGACTACGACATCCTTGGGGCGATTGCGATCTGTATGATTTACGCCATACGAGAGTTTGAGCGCAAAGGTGGCTACATGCCGGATTGGGACGGCGTGAGCACCCTCAGCACCGATTCCGAAATAGCGGGAGTCAAAATGGCGAGAGAGACGGTCCATGGCCTGAGCAGCTTGATGCATCTGTTGACTCAGTCTTTCAGCGGTCGTCATTGTAGGCTCCAGCAGGTAAGGGAAGGACAGGGAGGCGACAATCTGTTTGGGCTGCTCGTTGATATGTACGCAAACGTACATTCATGCAGGGAGGCGAAGCTGTACAGAGATCGTATTTATGCCTTGCTGGGTGTGGCGGTGGATGTTGACGTGCTGGTGATCAAACCTAGTTACTCCAGCCAAGCAAAAACTGCGCAAATCTTGACGGATGTCGCAAAAGCCATTATCGGAAAGACAAAGGATAGGTTTCCCGTCGAGATTCTCTCATATTCGCAATTTCCCAAAACAGTCCTCGACGATGGGAGTGATGAGCAACTACCATCGTGGGTACCGGATTGGAGGTCTGGCTTGCAAGCCCCCTTTATTCCGATCTCGACGACGACGACGACGAAGACGACACCAACCCCAAGGATGAGAATCCGGGAACCGATAGGGATGTGTTCAGGGCATGTGGGCCTCATCACTCAGCTGATACGGTGTCAACTACGACCAATGAGATATTTGGTCTGCGAGGATATCACGTTGATGCCATAGAAGAGGTGGGTGTTGTCGCATACCAGGAGTCCTTCTCCACGAAGCCGCGGCTGCACGAGACTCTTGAGTTCTTTGAGAACTTGGACAGATTCTGGGAGCTTTCCAAGGAGAAGAACGACCAACTCATATACGAGACGCCCAGGCGACGGGAGGAGGCAATTTGGCGTGTACCCGTTGGAGACATGGTGCTTGATTGGCAGAGCTTGGGTGAACACAGGGCAAAGGACGATTTTGGTCTTGAATATCACAAATGGAGACGTACTTTGAAGGAATACCAAGCCATGGGCATCGACATGGCTGCGCCCAACTGGATGGATGGTATGGATGAAGATAAAAAGGACAAGACAAGGAAATGGGTGGCAAGTGCTCTAGGGCCAGATGGAGGGAAACACTACGACGGAGCTCTCGTATACATGGCCAAAAAGTGCCTATACATCACAAAGAAAGGCTACTTGGGAATGGGGCCCTCCCAGATCCAACCTGGGGACGTCCTCGTCGTTTTCCCGGGAGCAAGGATTCCCTTCGTCCTAAGACCAACAGCAGAGAAAGACACCTTTACTTACGTTGGGGATGCCTATTGCGACGGCATCATGGATGGAGAGATTACCTTCAGGGAGGAGAAACAGGATTTCTTCCTCGTCTAGGCCAAACTATATGGAACGAAATGAAAGCGAAACAAAGGTCCAGTTAATTGGGTAGAAAGTGACTGATGATCCAAGTGAAGAGATAAAAGTGTACTTCCAAGGCCAGCCAGCAGATGGAATGTGTTTTATACCTAAAAAATGAATCCGTTGATCCCCAACCATGGTTCCAGTCGGGCAGTCGTTGCCCTGGTTCTTTTGATGAGGGTGCCCCCTTCCTTCCTATACTATCGCTAGGCTCCTTCCCGCCATGTTGCCTTCTTTGGCATCAACCTACACCACGCTCCAGCTCAAGCTCACTTAAACCGGTTGCGGCTTCCATCAATACTGTCGTCGTCATTATCATCTCACCTGCGTGACTTAAAGACCATCTCATCTAGTGTTGCGACAAGAAGAAATGGGGTATAGATTCATCTTTCCAAGGATCCGTAACCACTCGGCCACCACAATTTCTAAACGACTAGTAACAGCCTAAACCATGATCAGCAATGGCGAACGTACATGAAACAAGCGTAGTAGCTAACAAATTCACCCCATGTCCGTTCTAGACCCGTCCCTCTTCACAAACTCTCTAATGATCATCCATCTCAATCATATCCCCCCGCCCACATTACCTCATGATCACATCTCCCTCTTTCTGTTAAATCCTCATCCATTGTGAAAAATCTCTCATCTCTCCTCAAATCATGGTATCATACACTAACGACAACAACCTCTTACCCCGCCCATCCTCTCAATCCTCCTAAGAACTTTTCAGGCAAACCCCAAACTATCAATATGTAGTCTCATGCGGAATGCTTTAGAACAACAACCTTCATTCCCATGCCCATGCTCATGCTCATTCATGCTCATGCTCCATGCAGGTTGCAACCCAACCCAACCCAACCTAATATACCCCACTGAGCCTTGACCCATATTGTAATATGCATACCGTACCCATGGCCGTGACCGTTTCAACCCCGTGGATCCAACAAGGCGTCTTCGTTGCTTGTGCCTGTGGTCCGTCCCCTTTTTTGTGTTGCTATTGCTTGTTGCCTGGTTGTGTACTTGCGTTCATCCCATCCCCTCCCATCTCCTTCACTTCTTGCCCTCCAAGAACATCTTCTTAAAATCGGCGTTGCTTTTCTGAGCAACCGGTGGTGCCGGCGCGGCAGGACCTGCAGCGGATGAAGATGGCCCGGTGCCGTTGACCTTCTCTGAGCCCTCCTTCGCCGCAGCAGCAGCGTTCTGTTCCTTCTGCGCCTTGCTGACAGGAACCACGAACCCGAGTCCCCTCTTAGCCCCCGCCTTACCCAACACAGGCGGTCTCCTAATGGGCGGCGGTGGTGGCATCAACTCAGCAGCGGTCTTCACCTTCTTGCTGGCTTTAGCGCCATCCTGCTTCTTCTGCAGTTGCTGATGCGGCAAATCGATCCTATCTATCCTCTTCTCGGCCTTCTCCTTGAACAGCTGCCCGACAGTTCCGACGCGCAGCTTCTTACCACCCTCGATCTCGGTGCTATTGATGACCAAAGATGCCTTGCCAGCCGTCGCCGCATCGGCGAACTCGACGACAGCGCCGCCGTGCTGTGGGTGAAGAACGAGTTTGTTGATCGAACCGATAGGTGCAACAATGGAGCGCACGCGCGCGTCGTTCATCGTGTCGGGAATGCCAAGAATGGCGATCGTACGGGCGGCAATATCAGGCCCCGACACGTGACTAGATCCCGACCCGGAGGCGCCAGACTCGGGCGAACCTTCGGCTTCACCGTCAGCTCGACTCGTAGCGGTGGTTTTGCGCGTGGGCGGCTTTGACACCTCCACCTTGAGGGGATGGTTGCCAAAGATCACCTTATCCAGTATCTCAATCGCCTTGGCAGCCTGTTCCTTGGTTTCCATCACCACAAATGCGGTGCCGGTGCTGACGCCTCCCATGTTACGCGTCAGGCGGACGCTGACGACCTTGCCGGCTTTTTCGAAGAGACCCTCGACGTCGTCTTCGCTTGCCGCACGAGGTAGGTTCATCACGTGGAGTTCGCGATCTTCGGCCTGAGCTCCTTGGCGCACTTGCCTATGGCCTGGATCGGAGAACTTGGCTTGCAACTTGTACTTTCCTCCTTCTAAAGGCTTGCCGTCAAGCTGAGTGGCCGCGGCTGCAAAGGATCGGTCGCGGAAGGATACGTAGCAGAAACGGCGTTTGGTGTTGTACTTAAGACTGGGGAAACGGATACTGTGAATGTCACCACAATGCTTGAAAAGATCGCGGATATACTGCTCGTCTGCCTCGGGCGGGTAGTTCGTAACGAATAGGGTGCAGTCGGTTGCCGGGCTGACCTGGATAACCGACTCGCCGAGGTATTTCCCATCGCGAAGCAAAGCTGTCCGAGCATCTTCTGGCGACCTGAACTCGATTAGCGCCACAGCCGGGGCACCTTCGTTCTTTTGAAGGTCGATATTGTTGATGTGACCGTATTCGCGGAAAAACTGTCGTAGCTTGGTTTGGGTAATGTCTGCGGGGAGATTGCGAATAAAGACCGACGTGTTCTCCCTGTCACGCTTGAGCTCAGCGGCACCCATAACAGTTTCGCTCTTTGCCCGCTTGGCACCATCGTCAGCCTCATCCACAGGACCATCCTCACGCTTCCTCTTGGAGCCTGGTGATGTGCCGGTTTGCGGGGCATCTGTCATCGGGTGATCGTGGGTCTGCTGCTGTTGATATTGCCGTTGCTTTGTTGTTGTTGTTGTTGTTGTCAAGAGAGGTTGCAGTCCAGTGTTGTTGTTGTTGTTGTTGTTGTTTGTTGTTGTTGTTGTTGTTGTTGGCTTGTTGTTGTTGTTGTTGTTGGTGGTGTTTGTTGTTGTTGTTGTTGTTGTGTTTTGTTGTTGTTGTTGTTGATGTTGCTGCGGTTGGTGCTGGGCCTGTGCTGCGTACGCGGCCTGGGCCTGAGCTTGTGCCGCCGCGTGTGCTTGAGCAGCCTCTCTCTCACGACGCCTAGCAACACCCTTTCTCGTCTTGTAGATGGTGTCCTGGGCTTCGCGTAGAGTTTCGGCCAGCTCGTAGTCGTTGCAATGCTGAAGATAAACATCCATAATCCTCTCGGGCCAGTCCAGCGTTCGTACCTTGAGAGCCTTAATGAAGACACGGGTGGCGAAAGAGGGGACCCGCAAACCCTGGGCCACGGTGGCAGGTGTAGGGCTCCGATTCTTGCTCTTAGTGGAAGCGAACACCAGCATTTCCCAGAGGAACCAAGCCAGCCAGAAATCGTAGCTGTTGGCATGTAGCGGAATCACAGCCATTTGCTCCCATACGCCGCGTGCCTCGTCAATGTCATCCTTCTTCTCGGTCAGAAACTGAATCAAAATCTTTTCTAACCTGAAGTTGGGATCGCCCTCGTAAGCATCACCGTACCGTCGCTTGCCCCAATGTCGAACGTCTTCCAGAGCGGACGGGAGGCCGACCTCGGCAAGGTCAACGGCTTCTTCGCTCGCGTTGGGATTCATAGCGGTGCGCTTGAGGTAGCCACACCAGGCCGAGTACATTTCCAGAACTCCACCCATGCCGTCGCGATCGAGCTGGGCACAGCTCGTGGCTGCGTGCTTGATGCGCTCAATGTCAGTGAAGCCTAGGCCAGCTTCCTCGGCAGCCAGGATGTAGCGGGCCCAGACAGTGCCGGACCAGGGAACGTGGTGCACAGCGCGCTGGAGGACGTCCAGCATATTAGGCAGGATGACCGAGGGGATCTTTACGCGACCCAGCTTGATGTCAGAGTGCCATGTTGAGACGAAAACCAAGAAGTTGAGCCAGGTCGCTTCATCCGCGGACATGATGCCGGTAAGAGCACGCGAAAACAGACCAAGGCAAATGTGGATGTTTGTCAAGGTATGGTGATCCTTTTTGGATTTGGCCTGCCTAATCTCCCAGTCGATGTACTCAGCCATGATGGCCTTCATGCCCTGAATATCGCCGGCCTTCTGGGCATGGTTGAGCTTCATTTCCCAGGGGTCGCGCAACTCGTACAGTCGCTTGGCGTCTCTGGCGTTAGCGGTGACGTGCAGCATCTCGGACTCGTAGTTGGCGCGGTTGTACTCGGACAGAAAGCTAGAATACATCTGCGACGTGTTATCCCAGGTGGCGTGGGGTACTGCCAGCCTATTCTTGTAGAGATGGGTGATGCGGCGGACGCCAGCCTCGGTAGCGGTCCGGGCAAGCAGCTCCATCTCGAGGGAGACCCAGCGATTCCAGAGCTGGTGGCTGTCGGAGAGGCGGTACTGAACAGCCTCATAACCCTCCTGCCAGAGGTTGAGGGCATGGTCTAGGGTGAAGGTCTCGCGGCCGACGTGCTGCTCCTCGATGGGCCAGCCAGCGTCGCTACCGGGCTGGCAGTCGGAATAGAGAGACCAGAAGTATTCGCAGTAAGCCATCCATACTTTGAGGCTGCCGGGCTCGGCTTGGACGGCGCGGCGGAAGGTCTCGATGACCTTGACGCGACTTTCGAGGTCGGTAGCGCCACGCAGTTGATGGTCGACAAAGTCGACCCAGTTATCCTCCCCCACCGGACTCGCCATTGTTCTAAGCCTTGTATCGGGGATCTCGTGTCATCGGTCGACGGGGTGTTTCTGTGTGAGGGGTGTGCGTGCGTGTGCGATTTGTAGCGGTAGGCGTGGATGCAGGTAGCAAGATGACGGGGATGCGATGCGATGTGTATGCCGTGCGGGTGGGTGCTGTTGCCGTGATGGTGAGGCCGCCGGTGCGATCTTGCGCTGGTCAGAGAAGAAAGTTTAAAAATTCTCGCGGTGATTAGGTGCGCAGGCGTGCGGGAGTGGTAGACGAAGGAACGACGGACTGGGGGGCCGACGTGTCAATGCCGATCAGCGGATCTGTTTAGTAAGGTACCGAGCAGCAACCCAGGATGAGGGAGGGAGGATGTGGTGGTAAGGTGGTAGCCTCGGGGAGAAGACAAGCGAGGAGAGAAGGCTGGGGTGCAGTGGTGTAGCAGGTAGGAGCAGCGCCGAGCCAAACAGTGGTGAGGTGAGCAGTGAACTGTGAACTCTGTGTGGACCGTGAACTGCCCGAACGGGGTGGTGGTTGACGGATGGAGGGTTGTGATCAGGCAGGGGCTGGATGGAGAAACGGGAACACGAAACCGAAGACGAAGAAGGAATGAGAGGGCAAGATGAAAAAGTCCAGTGCGGTCTGTCCGCTGGAAAGTCGAGAGGGATTCTGGGCCCAGCCGTAGAATTTTGGGTCTGGTCGGGCTGCGGGTTTGCGGGTTCAGAGGAAAGAGCTCGGGCGGTGCCTGGCGTTGGTTGGCCTTATCGCTGCGGTGCACAAGGTGGTCCCGCCGCGCCGTCCATTCTGCTGGGAGAACGCGGGAAGGAGCTGTCCGTGGAGGTCGAGATAGGCAGGCACCTCTGTGTCCAGGCGCGAAACGTGATTGGATTTTAAGAGTCATTCACTTGGCCAGCTTTCAAACGGAAGTCACTCTCCTCCGATATTTCCCTCTATCTTTCTCTCTTTCTCTCAGTCGCACCTGTCTTCTTGACTTTTGCTCCATGGCCACTCCTTCTATGTAGGCGGCCAGTCGGGTCGGGTGCACCTTCTCTGACAAAGTGCGGCCCGGCGACCTCGCCAGCGGAAAAGTCCCCTGACCGGCCGGTTTTACAGTAGCGCGGCGGATAAGATCTGTGGGGACTGCTGTGAGGGCCCGGGGGAGTCAACGGTGGAGCTCCGAGCACCTCACCACGCCGCGCTCACTTGCGCAAAGCTCACAGTGAGACTTTAGTGACACAGTTCACTGGGCGACGAACTGGACAGTGGGTGGTATCTCATACTGAAGGCTAGAACATTTTTTGACCATCTTCGACCACTGTGTCAAGACGCCAGATCGTCCCCAATAGCCAATCCATGGCCTGGTGTATGTTCCGGTGCTTTTGCTCCTCGATGCTCTGGCTAGCTTTGGCAGCTGCCTGGGAAAGGAAAGTGTCGGGTCTGTTATTAGTGAACCCTTATGACAGTGACATTTTCACAGCCCGGCGATCTCTTATCACTTTGTAGCACTTTGGGCCTTTCAGAAGGATAAAGGCGGCATTTCTACCTCTGGCATCTCATCTGCGAACTGCCGTTCGACTCACGTACCTTGAGCTCAACTCTGCTTTCTGCCTTCTTTTGTCCTTCGTGTTTGGCGCCAGAAACGTAATAACATGTTATAGACAAGAGCACAAACAAGGGGGCAGCTGGACTACCGGCCGGCAAGTGGGCAAACTTCATGATGCCAAGAGGGAGACAAGCCTGAACATTCAAAGACACTGCAATGCGCCGGACATGCACATGGTCTGGATGGAAGAAACAAGCTCTGTAGGATCCCTCTGGGATGGTCATATCTCATCATCGATTCTGGCAATTCCCACGATCATGCGACCTTCCTCCTGGGGCCGTGTCGCCGGCTCCGTCTCCTTCGAGAGAACTTTAGCGTCCGGCTTATATGGGAATGGCAGGGGAATGGGGACATTTGGGAACACTCCGATTCCGACGAAGCAATACCACCATCTTGCTTATGATGGCCTCATTCTGAAGATGAGCACCTTGATGGAAAAGAGGTGGTGCCCCAAGGTGCATTGGTGCTGACTGATGACTGTCCGCTGACTTGCCCTTCGGCTTCCTTGTTGATGGCTGAACTATGTCCGACAGAGCCGGCCAGATCGACAGAGGTCTAGAACTGATTAGAGTGATGGTCTTCCAAATTTCCTGATTGCTTTGCGAGTCCGATCATGAGTGACACTGCATAAATCCATGGTCGTGCGCCTCGTGCGCCTTCCTTTTCACGCCTGTACTCTTGTGTTCAGTTGTAAACACTTGTGTGTTGAGATATGTCAACAAATACCGAGCAATGCCTCATGAAAACACAATTCAAATTTCGGTGCCTGATCAGAAATCGAATACCCAAAATCCGCTATTAGCAATCGAACAAAATCGACCATGGCGGGAAAAGGGGTCAAGGGTCGGGTCGGGTGAGCACGGCGATATGTTGTACCTCACCAGAAAGCTACAATGACGACACTGTTGGTCCCCGCTCTGAGGGCAACCCACTTCGGGTCATCTGGCGGGTCCAGTCGCTGAGGGAATGCTGATTCAGAATGATTCAACGTGTTCAACGCACGGCCACCATCAAGCCCTTCAGTTTCCTCATCCATCTGCTATATCGTGAGGTTTTGACACCTCAGGGTCCTTCCACGAACCATTTGCGCATCTCCCGTGCGACTGCAATTTGGAATGTCCTCTTGGAAAAAAAACAAAGGGAGTTGCGAGTCGTAGCCTCCAGGGAAAGGCAATCGGCCGAGCACCTTGGCGCCCATGACCCCCTTTTGCCGATCTCACCGATCAACCCCAGTCCAAGCCAATGAGCTGGCTGCTTGCTGACTGGTCCCTGGCTTTTCGCTTCTCAGCTCCCAGCTTGAGATCTTGGCTCCGTTGGCTCCCGCCGAGACCCCTTTCTGCCGTTTTTGTGTCGTCTCAATACCGTTCCTTTCGTATCGTGTCTCGTAGGGTGTTGTGACTGTAGTCTCGTCGAATCACACAGACAACAGTATTTTAAGTGTAACCATAGTATAGGTAGTATAGTAGCATCAGAATCCCGTCATCATTACCGCTCGCCGTAGGAAAGGTCCCCGGATCAGGCGGGGATGAGGGTCCTTCAACAAAAGACCATAGCTGGCGAAGACGACGAACCAACAACGAAATAAACAAAAGAAATAGAATAATCTGGCCAAAACGCTAAAAAAACAAAAACAAAAAAAGCCCAGCAATCGCAATGTGTAGAAAAAGACGCTTCAAATGCGGACGCAATCCGTTTTGTACCGTGGACCTGAGGCTGTGACGTCATGGTCAAGCCAGCCAGTGCCGTCACATCCGAGCACCTGCCGCTCCACGCTTCCCCATCCGCATCTGGCCAGCCGGGAAGCGATTGGGTGGCCTGGACCTGCCAAGCGGCTTGGCCAAAAAGTCCTGCCAAGGTTGGCGTCATTGCGACCGGGTTTAAAGTCAACATGAGACGATAAGTGGAGTCCACTAAATCTTAGCGGCGCATTCCCCGCCCGGACCCGTTATCGATCCGTTATCGAACCCGTCCCCGACCGCCCAACCGTCTGAGACCGTCGACTGGAGGATTTTGGTCTGGCAGAATCTCATCTTGCAAAATTTCAGACTTGGCGCCGGACTTTGAAATCTCACTTTTTCAGCTTTGGATGCAACCTCTGTGAAAACACTCCATATCATCATTCTCGCCAAAAAGCTTCTTTGCACCCACAGACACAATTCATTCCAAGTCAATCGCGCAATGAGCTCTATTGGACGTCACAAAGCATCTGCGGCCCGGCTTCTAGAACGCTGGGGTATCGAAATGATGTGGGACAGGACCCTTGGTTTTTGACCCTTCTCTGACATGGAACTTCATGTTTTTGTTCTAGAACACGCATAGTACAACAACGAACCAGCAACCAATATCTCTTATGTATGGGCTTTTGCCTCGTCAATCTCTCTCAGTCTGGCAACATAAACAGACCGAAAGAGTAACTACCTCGCTACTTTCGGGAATAACAATAAGATCGACTCTGATGATCCGTGGGATTTCCGAGGGCTTTGGACTGTCGTTCACATGCTTTTCGGTTTTTGTCGTTACTCAGCGTTGCATTGGCCCCTGAATCCATTTCTCCCAGCATCAACACTATCCATTTCAAGTTTTCAACAACACAAGTTACAACGGACAAATTTCGCAGAATGGACATAACAACTTGGGAGTTCTGGTTCACAATTCTCCCTATGAGCACAAAATACGTGGCAGTTGCGATGATTTCTCAAAGAGAGGCAGGCGTCCTCACAGCGTTGCGGTACAGTCATCTTTATGCACGTCGCTCTTCATCCACCAAAGCGATTGCAGCAGGCCTGCAAAATCCAAACAGAAACCAAACAAACGATTGGAAGTGGTGACGTGAATATGTAGGGTGAGATGCATTTGCATGCCCACAATCTGGTGACGGATAAACGTCAAAAGCCAAAATCGAGTCAGAACCTTTGCATGTCTGCCTCTTGCCATTTCTCCCGCTCTTTCCTCTTTCAAGCCCGACACTCCATCGCCCAGTGAATGGTGCCTTCTTCCTCGTCTCCATCTACCTACCACGAACATTTGCGACGACTGAACATTCAGTTCCTCTATTCTCGAACTCTCGTTGTTCTTTTACACAACCCAGCTCGCCCATTTATCAATCTTCCCTCTATCCTTTGTTTTTTAACCACTAGTAGCCGCGTAAAACCCGGCACCATGGCGTAGTGGTACGCGCGCGGACACCAGAAAAAGGCAAGTTAATTTCCCTTGATGTTTGAAGTTCGATTCCTCGCCACAGCCAATGTGTCGCCCCAACATGATGCATTTTAATTAGACTCCAATGAGGTCAACAAGTCAAGACCATATACCAAGTGACGAAAAACTTAGTCAAAATACCCTGAAAAAACATTGGCTTTCAACTTCAGAGAATTAAATCATTTACTGTATGTTCCAGTTTGCTAACCGCGAACAAAATACAGATCTTCTACCATCTACGATGCGATCCGATTCTTTTTTTGACAAACTATCGAAGAGTCATTGTCGCCTTTTATTTACCCGCTTTCTAGCACAGCGGTACACAATGCACTTCCAGACTCTGCAAGGCCAACCAAGGTGAGGCAAGTCGTCCTTCTCATCTGCTTCGAAGTGACGATCAAGTTCATGTCCCGACGACGAAGCCAGCGTCCGAATGATGACCATAACTAGACTCCCATATACATAGGTCAAAGACCACAGGGAACAAATGAGGAACAACAATGTCTCGTTAATCTGAAAGGGACTGGAAATGGACAAGATCTCTGCTAGTGTTGTTTGCATTTGAAAACACAAAAAGTTCCTGTGTGCTAACCGTGTATCATAATACCTTCGGCAGTTCCATGTCCCTTCATGTCCTCTCCGGCTCGGTGCTCGATGAGAGATCCTCAAAGTACAAGCCTTGCGCAAGCCAAACAACAGGCAAGTCATTTTAGTTAGCCATCACATGTTTGAAACTCACAAGCGAATTCGATTCCCCGACGTTTGAACCCAATCCGAGCCTTAGGGAAAATGATGAACTTTCTTAGACACACCATAACATAGGTCAAAGTCAAGACCACGCAGTCAACCAACTTGAGGACGAAACTTCAATCTCGTTAATCTTCTGAAACCAACAACTGGAAAAAAAGATCTCTGCTAGCGGGTGGTTGTTTGCATTTCGAAAATACCAAAGTTCCTGTGCTAACTTTGTATCATTGCACAAGATCTTGGGCAGTTCCGACTCGGTACTGGATGTTATATGAATAAGTTTCCGAACCCTCGATAGAGACGTCAATCCCTTTTTCTTTTCTCTTTTTACCTGCGCTGAGAGGCAAGGTGATCTCCGTCCATCTTGACATCCTTCCGCCTGCCTCTCTCCCATTCCATTTTTCGCCCATGCCACCACGATATCACGACATCACGATTCTGCGTTCCTTCCCCCCTCCACCTATCGTCATGCTCTGATAATCCCACGAGCCGAGTCCAGTCTCTCTCCCAAACTACCCTACATGAGCGACTGAGTGCACACACCATGGTCCATGGGCAGTTAGTTGCCTCCGACCGCAATCAAAACCCTAACGAACACCATAATGAGCATCATCATCATCATCATCATCAAGGTATCCTTCTCCTCGACAGTGGACTGGACACAATCCGCCTCAAATTGCAACAGCGCGGCCTTCTCTCGTCGTCCGTGCCCGTGACGTGACATTGCCACCCGCCCGCCCGCCATCAATATCCATTGCCACGATCTTGAGCTTGCGCTCGCCTTCAAATCCGCAGCAGTGCCATCCGCTGTGGTGTTATCCTGGATATCTGGGATGATTTGCACGTTGGATGCCGGCGCCGTAGACACTCGCTGTTCTCCGAATTGGAATTGGAGCCGAGGCCGGGGCCGAGGGTGAAGGTGAAGATGGGGGAGGGCGCTAAGGATTACCAGATGGGGCGGACGATGAGAGGGGTGGGGGTGCTCGGTTTTTTGGGTTGAAATAATGGCTGGCTGCTAGAATAAGTGGAAAGTTTTGAGTAGGATAATAGGAGTAGTCTATCTTACGATTTTAAACAGCTAGGTACCTAGCTTAGCTTCGCTCGGATGTACGTGTAGGAGAAGACGGGGACAACTCGACCATTTTAGGTATCGTTTTTCTGTATTCCATGGGATGGAGTTAGATGAGTGTTTCTTCCAATTTGACGGGTCAGTTGGCACATAAAATATTCGTACGGTTTCATTAATACTCTCCATTCATTGCTTTTTGGCTCTTTGCTGCTGCTGCTGCTGATGATGATGATGATGATCTAGGGATATTTCATTGACACCATCATCATTATTACCTACCCATCAAAATAAATGTTGTGTTTCATCTGCCTTGCACGTTCTTCGACCTGGTCCTAATGTATACTCTTTCCTCTCCATCAGGCTTATTGGTCGACGCTGTCACGCTCGCTGCTTACTACCTATGTAGTAAATGCTTTTAACTCTCTTGGATAATTATTGGAGTCCAACGCCAATCCTTTCACCACCATGTTGTCCGAACTCCCAGTCGCATTTCCTGATCAATGTCTCATCTCCCTTCTCTTCCCTCCCAAACATCCCATCCCATCTCCTCCTCCCCTGCCTCACTTGTCTTTTACTCTTTTTTTTTTTGTTTTTTTTTTGTTTTTTTTGCATCTCTTTTCTTTTGTACATTTCCATTTCTTTTCTCGTTCAAGACTCTTAGTTGAGGTTGGTTTCGCTTCTTTGCTTGCTGCTTTGTTTTGCTTGCTGCTCGCTCCCTCGTCTTCCTCGTTTCTGGCTTGCCCTCGTTGTTGACCTTGAAACTATTCCCCCGCGTCATCGTGTAGTATATAGGTAGCTTTTGCTCGTTATTACTATTACTTAGGTATCATAAACGTTCCCCTCCCCAGAATCCAACCCACCTCCGCTTCACACCCAACACTGCACCCTTGTGCTCACCACCATGGCCAGCAGCAGCACCAGTCACCTCTCCTCCTCCTCCTCAGCTCCAGCAACACTCAACAAATGCCCCACAGCACCCATCGCATCAGTCGAATACAGCGCCAAAAAATGCGTCTCATTCAGCGAAAACAGTCCAGGCCAATGCGACCCAACGCCCGCCACCGTTTCCGCCTGTTCCATTCCCCTGGTCCCTGTCCATGTCCTTCCCTGATCTTTGCTTACAACCATTTTCGTATACGCCCCATCAATCTTGGGCATATCCGTTCCTTCGTTCGTCAAGAAACTCGTCACCAGCGTTTCCCCGACCAAATAAACCTGCGGCGCACCCGCCCATTTTCGGTCTTTGGCCATGTACACCGTCTCTCTTTCGCCCCAAGTCCGCCCGTCGTCGTACGACAAGACTCTGGCTATGGAGAAGGTCCCGTCGGGCAAAGTAGTTTCGAAGACGCAGATTAATTCTTTCTGTCGACAGGGGGAGGACGAAACGGCAGATACGCCCGTCATGCCATCCCTTGAGTCTGATGACGAAGAGCTGGAGACCAAGATTGGCGGATCGGACCAGGTTTTCCCTTCGTCGGTCGAAAAGCGCATGAGGTTGTTTTGGTCCGAGGCGGAATTTTCCGACGAGTAATAGGCTTGTATGGTCTTGCCGTCCGCACCTAACCGGAGAAAAGGTTCCCAGAGTCCGTTCAGTTGCGCTGGGTCGCCACAGGCGGGGCGTTCGTCGATGTGTGACAGAAAGGTCCAGGATTTGCCGCCGTCTGAGGAGGAACATACTGAGAGGCGGTATTGTGTGTATCTGAAGCTTGTTGGGGAAGAAATGGAGGGGACCAAAGAGTGGTGTCGAAAAGCAAACAAGATGCGACCGGAGGGTAAAGCTAGCGGCATGGCGTTGTCGAGATCGGAAGTCCCGTCGTTTGGCAAGCGGGTGACTTCCCCGAGAAAAGACCAGGAGGCGCCGGAGTCGATCGATACTGATGTGCGCAGGACGCGGTCGGTGCCGTCAACAGCGGCGTAGCCGGCTATGATGCGCGAGGTGTCCGGTTGGCCAGTTGAAGAGTTGAAAAAGGGAGAGGCGCGGATGTATACCCCCTCGGGGTCGATTTGGACTGGGGCGGCTGCGACTCTGATAACGCCTTGAGGCGGTGGAGTTTGGGATTGCGCATTATCTCGTCGTCTAAGATCCCCTTCATGATGCGGATCATGTGGCCATGGCCGGTGACCATGAAAGGCATCGCGGAGATGTTGAGCTAGTGGACCGCCGGAGACCATGTTGGTGAGGAAACACATGAAAAAGGCGATGCCGAAGATGAAGCGGATGAAGGTACGTGGGTTGTTAATGAGAAGAGAAAACATGTTCGAGGCCTCTGGAGCGGAGTAACAATGCTGGGAGGGATGCGATCTCGACGGTGAAAGGTCGTACAGATGATACGGGTACGCTGGTAAAAGACCGTCACTACTATTGCCCGCGGTGGAACGGTAACGGTGACAGAGACGGGATCGAGGAGTGGAGGTGGGACTTTCAAGGAAGCCGTTGTAGTAGTCGCTGTTGCTGTCACTGTCGCTGGCACTATCTTCGTCGGCGTATGATAGGTAGTCGCGAAGTACATCACACTTGGCTTGCAGGGGAGGAGTAACGGGAGGCGATGATAATGGTGATCGCGATCGTCGATGGGTAATAAGGATCAGGGGTCCCAGTCGTTCTTGATGTTCTTCGTGATCGTCGGCTTCGATTTCGACTTCGACTTCTTCGTGAACTAGGCAGACCTCCAGGGTCTTGGAAGTCACTGATGAGGGAGACGACGATCTGGATCGGATGGACAACACATCGTCCATTGTGGGAGGACGACCACGGGATGTAAAAAGAGTATGATTGGTATCTTCCATTGTTCAGTTGACATGGACAATCTGTTTGTCAGTTCCCTGAAATTGCGAACTAATCACTATCCTAGCAACACAGCGGTTGAAACGAGAAAGGATAAAAAAAAAGGACAAGGGTATCAACCTAATCATTCTTCTTTGTTTGCGAAAGATGCGATTGCAGAAAATGGTCACAAATCCCGTCCGTGATCCCCAATGTACGTATCGGCATAAACCATCCAAGCCATCTGTGCCATGCTGGAACGCCACAGTGAGAATAGATGCTCGTCGGCAGTGGTCTGCATAATACGGGGCGTCGTCGATGGAGGTGCACCGCATGATCGTATTCCAGGGAGCGCATCTGCATCTGCCCCTGTTTTCTTTGCATTTGCAGCGGCACGTGTTTGTGGTGTTGCTGCGGGTGCTTAATCCCCGGATGATGGTCAGTGTCCTCACTTTGTTCTTTTCGAATAAGGCAGACAGTCAGTTCGAATAGCTGGCCATTGCAAGCTTGCCCTGACAGAATTTTCTTGAAGGCTTCATCTTCTTCCACCGTAAAAGAACGATAAAAGTGGAAGTTGGTGAAAAGAGGACGTCACCGATGAACAAACGGTGATCGGGAACGTCAACGACCGAAGATGTGGAGCAAAACGCAGGGCAGTTTGATGATCCGTGACGGTGACAGCGACGATTGTCGATGAAGATCAGGCCCCCTTGAAGATCTTGTCAGATGGATGCTCATCGTCACGACCTAGAAGCTTTCTTCCAGGCTATGAAATAAATCATCAGTCCAACTTATTGTCCAAACACTAGCATCGAACGAAGAGGATTTAAAGGTCTCAGTCACTCACGAGGTCCCGCTCAGCTCGCTCGACGATGCTTGTCTTATGCGACGCCCAGGGCTTGTGGAAGTGGCTGTCGGCACGAAAACCGAGCTCATGCTGCTCATGCAGGACTTAAGACAAGGCAGCTGCGCATGCATTGTCAGTGCGCACGATCTCTGCCTGCATGAGAACAATGTAGCTTGCTACTCGCAGCATTGTCCTTTGCTGGCGATCGCAAAGGGTGTTACGATGGCGACAGGCGAGTGGTGTGTTGTGCGCTGACACAAAATGTTGTGAGATGTTGTTGAAGACAAAAGTAATAAAACAGATGGACAAACAATCTGTTGATATTCAAAAAAAAAAAAAAAAGGACTTTGTTCATAACGTCGTGACACAGCATACTACTACTAGTACACCATTAATACAGAATTAGGTATCTCCTTCACTTCTCATAGGTCGTCAACTCGGGAGTTCCTTGGGCCCTGGGCAGAGAGAACTTGGTCTCGACGAAAACCTTTTGCATCGAGTCCTCCTTGGCATCAAACTTGTGATAGACCTTGTCCATGTCATCCAGGCGGACACGGTGGGAAACCATGATGCCAGGATCGAGGGTGCCCTCGCGGATCTTCTGCAACAATTCCTCCCAGTACTTGTGCACAGGTGCCTGACCGTTGCCGATGAGGCGGATACCGCGCTGCATGAGAGAGCCGACGTTGAAGTGGTTGGTCTGGGTGGAACGGGTTTGGTTAGTATGGTGAACTGACTTTCGACTTAAAATGGAGTCAACTTACGTAGCCGACATAGACACCGGTCAACCCAACTCTGCCGTAATTCCTTACGCCCTCAATCATCTCGTTGATGATCTCGCTGGTATCGGTCTCAGCGCCAACCTGCATCTCGAGCCAATGGAGCCAGCCCTTGGCATACTCTCCGGCAGCGCAATCGATGGCGACGTCTGGGCCGCGACCACCGGTCAACTCCTTCAACTTGCTAACAACAGTCTCCTTATTGGTGATTCCAAAGCTGAGCTGCTTGAAGTCAATGAGGTGGAGCTTGTCGGCATGCTCAGCTGGCCAGTGGTTCTTGATGAAGGTAAGTCTTGGCTCCGTATCGACGTAGATGACCTTGCTGGCTCCCTCCCACAGCGCGAACACGCCCACCATCTGGCCAATGGGACCACCACCAAAGATTGCGAGGGTGTCACCAGGATACACGGCGGTATCCTTGACGGCGTTGTAAGCGGTCGGAAGCACGTCGGAAAGGTAGAGGGCCTTCTCATCGGGGACGTCGTCGGGGATCTCGAGCAGGTTGGCGTCGGCCAACGGCACACGGACGTACTCGGCCTGACCACCGGCAAAACCGCCCGTCAAGTGGGAGTAGCCAAAGATTCCAGCGGTGCGGCCGCCGTACATGGCCTTGGTCTGGGTATTCGAGTTGGTGACCTCGCACTGGGAAGAGAGCTTGTTCTTGCAGAAGAAGCAGTCGCCGCAGGCAATCTGGAAAGAAACGACATAGCGCTTGCCGACCTGAGCCTTCTTGACGGCGGGGCCGACCTGCTCGACGATACCGCAGAACTCGTGGCCGAGGATGTCGCCCTTGTTCATCTGCATGACGGCGCCGTGGAAGAGATGGAGGTCGGAGCCGCAAATGGTCGAGCCGGTGACCTTGAGAATGACGTCGGTGGGCTCAACGATCTTGGGCTTGGGCACCTCGACGACGGCGACCTTCTTGGATCCCTCCCAGACAAGGGCCTTCATGAGGTGCGAGGCATCACCGGTTTCTGGGGCCTTGTAGTTGGAGATGTCCTGCTTGATCTGCTCGGGGCCATTGCCGACAATCTTTTCGACGCCGTAGGCTAGTTGGGAGGTCGCCATGTTGTGTTACTGTTATGTGATATTATGTCGTGAGCGGGTATCTGGTATCAATAAGTTGGTTGCTTGGTTGCCCCTGGTGGTGTTTTCTGTTAAAGCTCTGAAAGATGGAGACTGAAAGATTCCATTGTAATGGGAGAGCTCGGAAGGTAACCGAGAACTTATAGCAGCCAAGAGGAAACCATTCACGACGTCAGAGAGCCAACCAGCCAAACGCAAGGTGCATACTGAATGGGGGAGGAGAAGCTGGAGCTCTTGCTAGTTAGGACAGTCCACCAGGATTCTCATGACGCTAATATCAATTTATCGTCATCGTCCCTTCCGTTTCTGGTCTTTGTTGTTGCTGGCCCCGCGCGGAGTGTCAATATTGAGAAGGAGCACTACGTCATTGATGTTCGGAGCTCTTATCGCTATCTTATCGCTGATAAGCTTCTCATATTAGTGTAGACGATCAACCGCCAAAGTCATGATGCTTGGCACCGCTGTTCCTCACAACAATCACCGAAGAGGCGAGGCGAGTATGTCGACGGCAGTTGAATGGAGGGGTGTTCGCAAACCATTTCGATTGATTGACTGCCTGGTTGCCCTCCACATCTTTCCAATCCCAGAGCCTCGCATTTGATGTCCTCCTGGCTGAAGGTCAAGGTTCTGGCATAAGCGTTTAAGAAGTACCCTGATGGAGTGGTCAGTGCGCTGCCTCTTTCATCTCACTAACAATTTCCGCCCAGAAGTAACAACATTTCCAAGTCGTCCCTTTCCTTCTTTCACCACTGTGTTCATATATCCAACCTGAATTCCAAGAATGTCATTTAGACGAAGCAGTCTGACTGACCATTATTTTGTGTCACAACACGCAGTGTCATCCGCATTCTTTGCCCCTTTCAAGAGGTTGTTATTCTTAGGAGTCATCCCCGAGATACTCCCTCTTTCACTTGTCTCTTCTTGATTTCTTTCTCGCCATGCTCTTACTTCATCCATTTTCCAGATTGTGAGCATTAAGAAAACCGATGGAATAACCGTGACGACCTTGGCATGGCTTTCCCTCCACAAGTCGACAGGCGTTCATCACCGGGGAAATGGCGAAGCAGCTACCCCTGCAGCCCTGTCGGTCATCTTCCGGGACGGGAACGCTTGCCGTAATAGGGTCACATTGGTGGGCTTTTGATGGCTTTTGTTGACCGCTAAAGACTTCATCGTCACAAGCACTGCCACTTCCTCCATAAATTTCATGAGGATATTGACTGACATCAATCGACAGAACATGTTGGATTCCCAGTGGTGATGACTTCTAAGGGAGATGTGGAGATTACGATGCCGTCCTCACTCTCGTCTCGGTGTCCGGAAGGGTACACTACCGGTCCTACGGAAATGGGCTAGATATCCGAGTCCTGGCAGCCGGATATTTCACTACTCATTCAACGTTACATAAGGATAAACTCAATTCTCGGAATGGCCGACGGCTTGGAGCCATCATGAGGCTCTTCAGTCGGAGTTTTAGGTAAGCTAGATACGTGACAGGTCGATAGACGGGGAAAAGTTCGGTCACACACCAATCAGCTTGTCGCCCTATCAGTTCGTGGGATTGAATTCTAGATCTACACGGCCATGCTCACCTTGATAGTTCCGCCTACCAACACCGTCACTGGCTCATAACTCCGACCCTCGACCAGTGAGACGTCATCGGGCTGTCGGCGTTTAGCGGTACGTAGTGTTGTAATGGACAGCTGTCGCTATCTCAGCCTCAATGGAAGCCAATCTCACCAGTAACATGCTTCCAAGCTCCAAGCCACTCTGGAAGGGTAGCACTCATGCAACCGTCCATCCCCGGATGTGAGCTCGGCTTCCATCAACACGACGACAAAAGATCTTCAACAAAAGTTTGGCAGAGACATATATCATCCTTCGCTCATAACCCATACACTATCTGTAATTTTCGGCATACTCTTGTGGAAGTTGTGTTGCGCCATGGAAAGCACAGCAATGGAATCAGTGGATGGTCGTTTCAGTGGTTTCAGCCACACCAAGATGATGATGGCTCTTGTGGAACACTACAGTTCGATACCCGACCAAGACCTCGTCGTTTCATGGTTCTCGACCTCGGAAGACCTGAACAGCGCACCCGTTCGCGCCACCCCTTGCCCCTCCGTTGCCGATCAATGGCCATACGAAGGGGATGCCTTCGGTCTTGATGCGAGAGATATCTTTGATACCCAGATCCCCGACATCAACCAACGCTTTCCCACTTTCGACGCTTACGCTACCCCCGAAACAGAAAACCCCATGGCTCGTCCTACCGATGGAAACATCCAAGCCCACGCTCAGGGCTTGGTACCCGAGATTTGTCTTATTCCCGACTCCCGCTCGGGCGTCAGCACCCCTGAGCCACTGCTGATGTTCAACATGCCCACGCCAAGCGATATTGACTCGTTCCTCAGCACCTCAAACTTGCTGGCATTTGATGATGCCGCAAGCCTTTTTTCCGACAATCAATTTCACTTTCACGGCCCTGCCACGCCAGTGTCGCTAACATCATCGTATCATCGTCAGAATGAATCGATAGTGATGGTTCAAGAGCAACCCGTCATCGAGTATCATACACCGTCGGACTTTCTACAAGACTTTGAAGATGAGCTCGAAGAGACTGAGACATGTCAGCCTTCGGGGATGACAATGCATGGGCGGGTTGAGGTTCCCAAACCTTCGGAGGCAGCCCTAGAGTCAGCTCCTTCTGCGCCTTTAGGTCCCATTACAAAAGATTGGAAGCTTCCTCCGGTATGTTTTCCTTAGTGCTCAATCCAAGAACACTTGCTCACCAAGAACACCAAACAGCGCATCCAACGAAGAAAGAAGGTCAAGCATCAAAACAACAATGGAATGAAAAAGCCCACCAAACCCGAGCCAAGCGGAGGAAGCAAAGCAAGAACCAAACGACGAGGTCCGTATACCGACGAGAGTATGAGACAAAACACCGCTCTCACTCGCGTCCTCAAGTCGTGCATCAGGTGTAGGATGAACAGGGGTCGCGTATGACTTCCAATCCTTCATATATCACTTAACAGACATCACTTCAAACCGGAGTGCTCTCTATGCTAACAAGTTCCCCCTTCCACTGTACATAGTGCAATCCCGACCCATCAGATCTTGACGGGCCATGTCTCACCTGCAAGCGCATCACCGGCCCGACCCTCTGCAAGATGCCCTGCTACCGCTACATCGTCACCGACGCCTCTCTCTACCGCGAGCAGAAACATCCATCCTTTTCTCATCGATGGCAGAGCATGGACATCATCGACATTCCCGCTTCCGACTGGGCGTCCTCAAACATTCGAACAATCGTAGTATCCCCGGTCCATGTCGACGCCCCCTTCGAGTTCCGTGTCCGAAAGTTCAACCCTGTAGAAGGAGATGTGGTTCACGAAATGTGGAAGACACCACAAGGCATGAAACAAGTCGCTTTACCGCGCTACGCACTGGCAGAGATGCACGAAGCAGGCGAGACGCTAAAAGCTTACATCGAGACGAGCGTGTCCAAGTTCATCGTAGCGACGGTTGGGCATTTGGATACCATCTTTTGGGAGACGTACGGGATGGCGTTTAGGCATATTAACGAGGCTAATGTATGTCATATCCTCGCTTATTTCTACTTGCCGCCATAGCTGACCAGCACAAAAAATAGACAGAACAAGAACGCAGCCTCATGTCCAATGTCTTCCGCCTCTGGGTCGTCTGTCGCTTAACCAGCAACCCGGTCTTCATCTGCGGCCCGGAAACCCTCGACGGAAACCCCATCAACGACCCAGAAAGCAAGTACTTTGGCCGCGTCCCGATGCCCAAGATCATGACGGCGCAGTTCGAGTGCATCGAGTACACCAATTTCCTGCGGCCCTGGAGCAAGGCGGTGCTTAAACAGCTCAACGACCTGGTGCTGGCCAAAAAGAGGGAGTACTGGTTTACCATTTACTTGGCGCTGTTCGTGTTGTTGCATAGTTGCTCGATGGTTACGAGGAGGGATGCGGAGACGGCTAGGAAGTGGGGGATGAGGGTATGTCGCCCACTTCGTTTATTTATTAACGGCATTAGGGAGGTGCGAGTGAGTGACTAACGGACTGCTACGTAAAACAGACCGAGTACGCAAACCCCGAGAGCATCAAAGCCCACCACGCCGGCGCCCAGACAATACTCGCTCATTTCCACTTCATCAACAAAGGCGTGTTGCCGTTTGACATGCCGCACGATGAGGCGGGACGACTTGAGCTTGCGAAGGCAGCTAGTTTAAGTGAGGAACAGCTGGATTTTGTGTGGAAGACGGGGGATATGGTTAGGGATTCTGTGCGAGGTAAGTCCGGACTCTGTGTCCCTTTTTCTCCCCTTTGCTCCCTTCATAAAGAAATTGCTATTGCGTGCGTGGCTCATGTTGGTCTCGAGCATCACAGGGTTAATCGCTGACTGGTGTTGTAGTCGCACGCATGAACCACGTTCGCTCACACTTTGACGTCGGGGATGACTTTTACTGGATATCCATGCTGTACGATCGGGAGTGGAAGCCTTTGGGGAATGACTGAAGTCTGTCTGACTAACATCCAGCTAGAGAGCCAGAAGCAAAGCATAAATTGAAGCCATCGACCCCTCCGTCGTCCATCATCCCGCAAACCAGACCTGCAAATGACGCTAAACAACAAAAGAAGAAGAAGAAAAGAAGCAGAGAAAAAAATTCTTGCGCAGTCCGGGATTCGAACCCGGGCCCTCACTCAGTAATTTGCTGTTCTACTGAAATTCTGTTCCCCCAGAGTCGACGGTCTTTGAGCAAGAGGTTCTCTGGGAATTTCAACCCACAAATCGAGTGATGCGTTAGACCACTGCGCCAACCGCGCCTTTTTTTTTTTTTTTTTTTTTGTCGTTGTGTTGCAAGGGGGACAGGAGAAGGCACCTTATGTACCCAAGGCAGCCAGGAGCTATAGCGGGATATGGGGTGGCAGAAACCTCAGCTCAAGGAAGCTGCTTATTTGTCTGCAGTGGTTGTGGGCGGGACATAGAATGCAGGGTAAAAGGAAGGAGGGAAGGACTCGGAAGAAAGAAAGGAACGATGGACTTGAGCCCACCGCACTCGAAACACCATTCACATTGTGACTACTCGTTAGCACTAGAATCACCGAAGAATCTGCCAACATCCGCCAGCGTCATATGTCATTCATATGCGCGTCGGCTCAGTTGCCCAATTTCCAAACAGCGAGCTAGATGCTAGATGCGTCCATTACCATTAAGTGAACGTAATCGGTCAGTTGGTTTACGGTTTTCCGCTGTGTTTTTCTAAATGTGTACAGGTAGCTCGACGATGAACAACAAGGAAGGTAGGCGCAGCGAGGGAGGATTGAATGGAATTTCGAGGATATGATGAGGGGAAATAAGGTATGACGAGGTTGAGCATCTCGATGATGAGGGAAGGCTTGCTTGACGCATTTGGAGAGGAACTTGAGATGCCATGGAAGAAGTAGGACCAAGACTGAAGGGAAAGCAGAAGTTCAAGATACCACATCCTCATATTCGCACACAATTCAGCTTGCAGCAATCAAGCTCATGGAAGTTCATAGAAAGAGAACGAGATTTTCGTTAAAAGGGTATCCGTATCATCAGCCATTACTCCATCATCCTGCTGCCTTCCTCCGCCATCGCCTTGCTAACATTGGGTATTAGGGGTATTGGGTATTGAAAAGAAAGCAATCCTGTCCGTCGTGGCCATTTCGATATTATCAAATCGTAACAAAAACCGTCAAGGCCATAGGCTCCAGTTCTCCCCGTTCTTCTAGTCCGTCTCTCACTTCCACCGTGCGTCATCCGAGTCGTCACAGACAGCGCCTCATCATGTCGTACGGATAGGTACGGATAGCTGCGACATATTTTTGTTGTTTGTTTGCGTCGTTTGTCCTCTGTCAATGGATGGGCACAGCAGCAGAGTCTTCGTCACCTTACAAAGTCAGGCAACTTAGACGACAGTAGCAGTGCGGGGAGCAGCGCGGTGCCACTGCCACCAAGTGTAGAGGATGTTGAACAACAGACCGAAGCTACAGTCGCAACATCGTTAGCATCCATTTCTTATCAGACCACATCATACCCAAGACAACTTACAAAGCGATAAAAGTAAAAGCCTCCAACGCATGCCAGATGCTCGGGACGTAACGGCTCGAGTAGCTCTCGGCAGCGAAAACAACTGAGACCAGCCAGAGGTAGCTGAAGATGAGGTTGAACAGCAAGCTGTAGCTCGGGCGAGGGTGGAGCAGGAACGACAACAGGAAAAGGCGACGGTGAGGACGGCGATGACCAGGATGTACACGGGGCGGTTGCCTGGGTACGCATCCGATCCGGCGTACTTCTTGAACTGGCGGATCTCGTAGGCCGAGATACCCAGGACGATCACCGAGGAAAGCCAGATCAGGATGTTGCTGAGGGTGAGGATCGGGTGGAAGACGCCGCGACGGTCGGCGTGGTGGGTGCCGGCGCCGTGGGTGGTGGTCGTCGTGTGGGTGGTGCGGGGAGCGCGTCCGAAAGCCATTGTGATTGATCCGGTTGGTGTTTTAGATTACGATTATGGTTGTTTGTAAGGTAATTAGGTATTGATCTTTGTTGATGCTGCCTGGTGCGGTTGATGGTAATGGCTAGCCGCCTTGAGTTGTGGTTGTTGTTATTGCAAATTAAAGACTGTCGAAGCAAAAGGATTCAAGATGAAGAAATGGATGGGGAGGGAGGAAGATTGGTCTTAAATCTGGACTGGTGAGTGGAATGGATAGAAGTGGGCAGAATAACTAGGAATGAGCATTACCGTTACGGTACCGTAAATGATTACCCATTCACTTGCCAGTGTCTGCCTCGTCTCAAGCTTGGTTCTTTCCCTGACTGCTTCGTCCTTCCACCATCATAGGCTCGTCCCAACCAGTCACCAACGAGAGCTCCTTCCTCGTCCATGGAAATGTGGTGGAATGTGACGAACAGCCAAGAACTGGGCAGGTTTGTAGCACCGCCATTGACCAAACAACTGGCCAGCAACCATCATCATTCCTGCCTTGTAAGGTGTCATGCTTTCCATGCTCTGCCAAGTCTCCACATCACCAGTCTCGCTGCCGTGCAACCGACCGGGTGATGGATGGTGATGTCCGGGATGGGCGATCAATCATTCATTGAATCACCCATCCACATGCCGTTGATGCCCTCGTCCCAGCAAAACGTGGATAAGAAGAAACAAAAGACCCTTCATCCAATCCCTGTGAATCCTTCCCGAGAAGCTAATGCGTGCCTGTTCTGACGTCGGTGCCAAGAGAAAAACATTTGCTGACGACCGGGGAGTGATTGGGTGGTCGGGATCTTGACCACCATTTGATTGCTAACAGTTTGCTACCTTGGTGCTCACCACAGCCTGTTAGTGTTGGGAGCTCACCCCCGATGGACGGTGACCAACCAGCCTCTACGTCATTTCGCAGGGGGTGTCACAGCATGGCCGTCACTCAAAACCCACGACGACAATCATTGGCTTTCCGCCGTCATGGGATCAGGCTTTTTTTTTCTCCTTCATCATGCCGACTTTGCGCCAACAAAACACATTCGATGCCCGACTTGTGTGATTCACACTTGACGATTGCCCAGCGAAATATCGAGATGATGCCGCTGGCTGACCAATGCGACACCGATGCGACGACGCAACCACAACGATGGTGTTCTGTCGCAAGGATTGGAGCAATGCGGGGGTGACATCCGCAACGGCTGTCGGCATTCTGTTTCACTTTTTCCTCTGTCACCAAACGACAGTGACGAAATTCGAGTGCCGGCATGGATATTGGTTGAGTGTCTGTTTGGTGTTGCAGTCACAGAACACTCCCGCTTGCGACTCTGTGCCGCAATGCGGACGGAGATATTGAGAGACAAGACATGATCCGCGCGACTACCACATGAACCTTGAAATGCGACAAGAGGCGACGACGACGATTGCCTCATTATCTCCAAGGCTCATAGCGACAAAACGCCCCTCAAAACCTCTTCTAGCTTCAACTCCGGCTTCTCAATCACCGATTTGCTCCTCCATGCGACAAACCGATCCGGCCTGACAAAGACACACCCGTCATCCTCAACCTCTCTCCTTTCAGCCCAGTCAAAGTACACATCCTCGTAATCCTGCTTCCACCCAATCGAGTATGCGACAACCTCAACACCCAACTTCTCCCCGACCGCCTTCACCGCGTCTTTCCACGCCTGTCCGCCTGGCCCGGTAAGCAAACAGAACCGCCGGTGTCCCGCCAAGTCAATCGTCGAGATCTTCTTCCCAGGAACTCGTGTGTTCAACCAAGCATGCGGCAGCCTGCGTCCGGGATAAGTAGTAACCTGGAGTGTCCTGACCGTATCCTTCGGCGCCGGCGGCGCCTCTCCCTGATCTGCCAGATATACGGCGTTCGACACGTATTTTTGGTTCATTTCGATGCCCAATCCGTGAAACTCGGTTGTGGTATTCTCAATCCCGTCACGGAATGCCTTCCTTCTCAGGCGGCCCTTCTCACCTGGGTCCTCAAACTCCGCCAAGATCTCGGCCACTTTCTCCTTGTTCTCCTCCAGCAATCCCAAGGTCTTCTGCCACCCGAAATGGTCGCGCAACCCTTGATTTGCCCTTGTAACGATATCCACGCCCACCGGCTGCCTCTCCTGGTCGAAACTGCTCAACAACTCCTTGCCCGCCTTGCCGGACATGACATAGTCAATTTTCCACGCCAGATTGAACGCGTCCTGGATGCAAGTATTGCTTCCCAGCCCGTTAAAGGGCGGATGCCGATGTGTCGCATCACCAAAGCAAAAGATATTCCCGCCATCAGAATACCGCTCCGCAACCACCTCGTTAATCCACCACTTGCTGGCATGTAGCAGCGTCACTTCGATGCTCTCATCTCCAATCACCTGCCTCACGCGCGCCATATACTCCTCGTTGGTGGCAGACATATCATCCGCCTTCAAGTCGGCGCCTGGCTGGGGCAAGAAGATAAACATCCACTCGTCCCAAGCCCTGACCATTCTGACGATACACTCCTTGCCCCAAGCCGGGTACTCCTCTTCCTCAGGGTTGATGACCCAATGCAGGTTCCCCGACCTGTTCTCCATGAGATGCGATAGATCGGCGCGCACAAAGACGTTGAGGGCCAACCCCTGGCCGGTTTTTTTGATGAGAGGCAGCTGCAGCTCACGGACGACCTGGCTGCGGGCGCCGTCGCAACCAAAGAGATAGCGCGACTGGATGAAGTAGGTTTGTCCCGTGAGCTCGTCGAGGACTTCAGACAGAACGGTGTCTGGAGACGGGCGTGAGAGGCGCACGTAGCGCGTGTTGAAGCGGACGGTCCAGCCGGCGTGGGTGGCGCGCTTGACGAGAATGGGTTCGAGGAGGGTTTGCGGTAGGTCAATGTGGTCGCACGGACTGGCGGTTTCGTATGCGCCCTGCGTGCAGAGGAGGAGTGGTAAGTACGTGCTTCTTTTCCCCATTTTTTGGACGATGAAGGAGGTCGGGGGGAATGGGCGGGGTAAGTAACCAACCTTATGCTTCGGATCATGACCCCACGAGTAAACCCTAGCAAACTCCTCGCCCGCCATGCTACGACACCACCGCGTGTGCTCCATGTGTTTGCTGTCCGTCCCAGCGTTTCGGCATTCTTGCTCCAGTTCGATGTCTCGTAGGCACTCAAGAGCAGCCATGTTAGTGATATGAGCTCGTGGTGTATCCGCTGTGCCGGGAGCAGCCGCGATCAAGATGCCGGTTCGTCCTGAGTGCCGGGAGGTATTAGCCGTCTGTATCGAACTTCTGGATATTGGAGAGTATTTGGCTTACCATGAGCAGCAAGAAAGCAAGCCAACGCTGCACCCGCAGGTCCAGCGCCGACGATGAGCAGGTCCGTCTGGAGGACGATATCGTTTTTCGCTGTTTGCGTCATGGCTGCTGAATCCTCTCTCCTGATTTCCGTGACTGTCTTGATGTAAGGAACTGAAAAAAAAGGACGGCTCAAAGACGACACGAGGACAGCTTGGGACAGCAGCTGGGGGATCCCATCAAGTTGAGAATTATCTAGTTCCCACCTCAATACCGGGCAGATCAACAGACCCCGATGGATCGGCTGCGGGCCTACACCAAACTGCTCCTTCCCGGTCAGAGTTCCATTGCATCACAAGCGGAGTCGGTACCTTCCTAACCAAACGAGCCAAATCAATCTAGCGGAGGACGGGATCAGAGACTATCAAGTGGAAATTATCTTGGCTTGGTTATTGGTCATTGGTGTTCCGGTCGCTATAAGGCCCCGCTCAGACTAGTCGTGAATATTGAGGTCCTCGATCTGAGTAAGCATTACGAAGACGAAGCCGGTATGTTGTGGTGGCTCTGTGCACCACACCACCTTTGAAGTTGTCAACTGACGAACTTGTGCGAATCTGGGGATCCTTCCTGCGGGATCTGCACCTTGCATCCAACATCGATCGGAACGGGGGTGGGATGGTGAGTGGAATTTGGGGATTGACTGCACCGAGGGACCTTCGGGATGGCGGTTGTGTACCTAAAGGCAAAGTGAAGAAATGCTCACTCATGGCGTATAATTGATTCATCCAGATCGAATAGTTTATTCAAAGCGTTCAATACGGTACTTTATGGTATGTCCGTAAGCGCGTACCTAGGTACTGAGGCTCGCCAGGTCGATACATACCCCGACGGCGGCTTACGAACGCCGCCAGGGAGTTGGCACTTCCGGCAGGAACAATCCTCAGCTCTGCAGACCGACAGACACAGAGGACTACCATAGAGCCTTGCAGAATGTAGCTCAACGGTCTTAGGCCTGGGCCCAGCATTATAAACCCGTTGATAATCAGGATAAACATGGAACAAGGCGGCTATCTGCATGTTTCGCACTGCTTGGTCAATTGTTGGTCAGACACCATGTGGAGTTGATGACCGTTGTTCTCCAAGAAGCTCCCCGTCGTTCGGAAGACTGTGGGGTTGTTAGTGAGCGGTTAGCGGCCCGGTGAATATAGCGGGGCTATAGCGGGGCTGGGCTAACAACACCCTCAATGCTGGCCGTGATTCTCCCGTTGTTGATGTACAGTACTCCAAACTCCACTTCATATTTCACGATAACCAGTTTCTCCAGCTCTTCCGTCTTCATCTCATGAGGTTCTCTTCCGCATCTGAATGCCTTCATCATCGATGCTTCCCGTTCTAGTCACACACGGCTTTCTCGCTGCTTCCTGGTCAATATTTCTTGAAATATCGAGGAAGCGGCAGTAAACACTGATACTGGAGATGTTTGCCGCTCGCCTCAATGTTGTATCCGATGTCTGTCGTCTCCCTTGATGTCGTTTCCCACCCATTATTGACATGGACACTCGATCATTTCGGCACCGCATTCCAACACTGGATTTGCAAGGAACTTTTGACATCTGAAACCATTCTTGAGTCCAGGATCGCATGAGCATAGGTAAAGAAAACAATGATCTACGTTCCCAGTACCTCTAGGTAGGGAAAAATGCGACAGTTCCTATCCTACCTATATTCGTTGCAAAAAAAAAAAAAAAAAAGAATACACCGTAAACATCTAACTCTTCCTCCTTCTCCTGCTCCAGTCCCTCACAGATCCAAGAGCCCAAGCCCAAGCCCGTGCTAAAATAGCCGGAAGGCGAGGAGGAAGACATGAAAAAGTTGGCTGAATTCTTTATGGCCAAGGGGGGTCAAGAAGATGAGAACTTGGGAGAGATATGGACATGATTCGGTGTGTCTAGGTGTGATGGATGTTGGGTACGTAGGTGCCGGGCGCCGGGTCGGGTGCTTGAAGTTCAAAGGGCACGAGAAAAAGAGAAAGTGCAGTGTAGAGGTAGGTCCGTGGGTAGTGATGCTCCGTGAAGTGAGCGATGGAGAAAAGGGTGGTTGAGGTGAGCTAGAGAAAGATTTCCACTTAAAACTGCGCAAGAACGCGTTTTGATAATCTTCCATCTCTTCGAAATGGTACTGTCCGATTTGTCAACCCGGAATCTGCGCTTCAGTTCAGCACCGATTTATTTTACCTTCTCCTTTTTTCGGTTTTGAGAAGGTAGATCAGGGCATCTTGGTCTTTTATCCAGTCCCTTCGGGCTATGGCCTTATTCACTAGAATATGGATCCGAGAATGAAGGGCTCGCGAGGTTTACAGGATTTGGCCCGAGTGGATGGCCAGTTGCATTTGAGTGACCCATGTTGCTGGGCTCGAACCCAAAGTTGTCATACGCGATCGATTGGGCAAGACCCGATGCTGGACCTGCAATGTGGGGGACTTGTTACCACGTAAGTAGTGCATCGGAGGGTGAGGTGCTTGTCCGGCATTGGTACCTGCATCCATCTAAAAGGCGTCTGCGGCTGCCGGTGTCCATGGCGCATGGGAGGAGAAGGGTAGGAGTGCTTGACTGCGTAGTGGCCAGCGTCGGTTGAGACATGGGTTTGTTGACCTATGTAAGCCTCCCTTGGGTATCACAGGCTGGGGTGCCGTATACTTGGGCACCGGTCATTGCTTCCCCAGGTTGTGGAACATCCCAGACTACGTACTCGGGACAGATGTCGTCCAATGAACCAGGAGTGTTAGCCTATCAAACAAATCAACATCAGTAGTGGTACTTGGTACCCGTCCCTCAAATATGTTGGTCAATAAGTCCAAGTTCAAAACCCATTGGCACATGCTACACGTAAATCGTACACAGAATCGCCTTTCTTGTTCATTCAACGCCCACATTCGGATAAAAAGCGTCCAGTTTACCGCCTCTTCCCATGGATCGTCCTACAAACCATCCCCATAAAGTTATAAAACACCCCATACGCTGCCCTGCCAATTGCGCCCTTGTACCTGAACCACAGAAAAAGGCTACCAGCCAGCAGCGGCAAACCAACACCACCAACAAGGCTGCGCACCAAGACCTGGCCCTGGCGATCACTCTTCCTCACCACCTCGGAATACCTCTCGTTCCCAAAGCTCACCCTGCTATACTTGGTCTGCCAGCCCAGACTCGGCACGTAAACACTCAACCACTCCTCCAGGGCCTTGCGCCATCTGTACACAGGCGACAGAACTGATGACCTCATCTCAATGTAGTTCTGCAGCGCCAGGTCGTTGATGGCGTGCGCGTCGGCGATGCGCACGGCCGAGTATTCGGTCAACGCGATCTCCCGTTGCGAGGCCTCGAGGTCGCTGTCGTCATTGGTCATGCGGTCGTGCTTGTCGAGGATGTCGAACAGGATGCGGACGTCTTCGAGTCCGGCGTTCATGCCCTGGCCGTAGAAGGGGACCATGGCGTGGGCGGCGTCGCCGACGACGACAACGGACGAGGAGAAGTGATACGGCTTGCACTTGATGCTGATGAGCGGAAGGTGGGGGTTGGACTGGAATTGATCGATGAGGTCTTCCGGGTGGATCAGAGAGGTTACGCCCGGGAAATGCTTGTCGAAAAATAGCGGGATCTGGGTACCGGCGGTGTCGGCTTCGAGCTGCTCGTAGATGGCGACAGGGGCGAAGAGGGTGCATGTGAAGGAGCCGTCTTCGGACGGGATGGCGATGAACATGAACTCCTTGCCGGGCCAAATGTGCAGGTGGTTGGGCGATATCCTGAACTTGGACTTGGCTGATGATGAGCCGGCTCTGGGAGCGATCTGGAACTCACACCATAACGTGTCGATGTACTCTTGCTGGTAGTCCATGCGGGCGAACTTCATCAGGTGGTAGCGGACGGCGGAGTGGGCGCCATCAGCACCGATCATGAAATCGAAGTCGATCTCAATTTCGCGCGCTCGGTCTCGAAGGTTGTAGGTGCTCTCGTCCTTGACTTCAAACCAGGCCTTGTTCCGCTTGAAATCGGCGCCGGTGAGCTTGTGGTTGAAGAAGAATGTGACGTTCGGCATCTCCTCCAGCATGTCGAGGAGACGCTTGTTCAGGTCGCCACGGTCGATGGCAAGGATACTCTGATCTATTCATCAACACACCTGCTCTGTAAGGGATTCAAAATGGGCGACGGGGTCTTACCCGTCCATGAATATCGTAGTCTTGAGCTTCCTCATACAGCTTTCCATCGGGTCGCTTGCCATGGATCATGCGGCCTCTCATGGGGATGGTCACCCCTTTGACATAATCGATGAGTCTTGGTTGGTTGGCATGGCGCATAGCATTAAGGCCGCGTTCTGAAAGAGCCAAGTTGATGGATCTAGTGAAGTTGAGTGGTGTTGTTGAGGGATCACGGAGATCTGGTGATGATTTGTTAGCAATGACCTCTTGGATCTTGACTCATGTAAGTCAATAGAAGTGAAAGAAGACTCACCACCGCGCAATTCATAAATCTCAACATCGTGACCACGGTTGGCCGCATAAAGAGCAGCCAATGAGCCGACCGGGCCGGCACCGACAACGACAACTTTTTGCTTTCCCTCGTCCATTTTCGAAATATGGTTGTTTTTGAGAGAAATTCCTAGCCTTCCGCTCTAGTAAGCCGGGAATCGGAAAAGGTAATGGAGGTTGGAAAAATAATGTTAGTGATTGCATCAGACGATATCAAATCCCATGCGCCAATATGCAGTCCGATAATTGTCCGTGCCAAAAGTGATCCACTACCGACGCCTTCTGGTTGCACTAATACCACAAACAGCTTAGTGCCAACGAACAAAGTGCATCTGGGCCACTTAGGTAAGCAGCCTGGTCCCTTCCATGTCTGGCCCCAACAGAGCCCCACTCGTCCCGCTTGTCCATCGGCGCCTGTGTCGCCCGCCAGAGCCGCCACTGCCCGCACTGCTTCGCGTGGGAAGACGACTGGAAGGGCGCAAGACAAGGGCTCCAAAAATATTCATTTGTCGACGCCAAGCTCAACATTCAGTCCTGTCGCATCCCGTTCGCTGTCACTTCTCTTCAGGTGTCTCACGCCCTTCAAACAACAACCTTCCATACTCGTCACAAAGGTACTTTTATTTGCTTCACGGCCTGCTTCGCCGGCCATATATACGCCTTGTCGTCACAGAGCGACTCGTGTCCGACCATCTTCACTTCCACATGCGATCGTCAAGCTAACTTATCGGCCCCTCTTTCCTCTCGATAACACAGACAGCGACAACAACAGTCAAATACTACCAACATGACCGAACAACCCCCGCGAAGAAGAAGTGCCTCGGCGCCGACTGCGAAAACGATGCCGGCACCCTCCAATGCCCCAAGTGCTTGAGCCTGGGCATCAAGGGCAGCTTCTTCTGCTCCCAGGATTGCTTCAAGAAGAACTGGGTACGCCGCATTCTTTTAGATATCTTCGTCCCATATGTCTTGGTCCTTCGGCTGGGTCCGGTACCTTGCTTGGACTGGGACTTGCATGCGAACCTTGATAGCTGACCCTTTGGTCGCCCAATAGAACACCCACAAGGAGCTTCACAGGCTTGCCAGTAAATCAACCCGCTTTCCCCCCTGCCAGAGCGCGCATCTAAAACTCTGTTCCAGGTCCCGAAACCTACAACCCCTTCCCTACCTTCGCCTACACCGGTCCTCTCCGTCCCGTCTACCCTCTTTCGCCGAGGCGTGTGGTTCCTAAGTCGATTCCCCACCCCGACTATGCCGAGAGCGGTATTCCCGGCGGCGGCCGTACAAGGTCCAACAAGATCGAGCAGCTAGACGAGAAGGGTCGCGAGGGTATGCGCAAGGTCTGCCGCCTCGCCCGTGAGGTTCTCGACGTTGCCGCTGCCGCCATCCGTCCCGGCATCACCACCGACGACCTCGACAAGATTGTGCACGACGCCTGCATCGAGCGCAACTCGTACCCTTCGCCTTTGAACTACAACTTCTTCCCCAAGTCCGTCTGCACATCGCTCAACGAGGTCATCTGCCACGGCATCCCCGACAAGCGGGTCCTCGTGGATGGCGACATCCTCAACCTCGACGTCACCCTTTACCACGAAGGCTACCACGGCGATTTGAACGAGACATACTACGTTGGCGACAAGGCCAAGGCTGACCCCGACTCGGTGCGCGTCACCGAGACGGCCCGCGAGTGCTTGGAGGAGGCCATCAAGCTGGTCAAGCCCGGCACCCTGTTCCGCGACTTCGGCAACGTGATCGAGGCGCACGCCAAGAGCCGCGGCTGCAGTGTTATCCGTACCTACGTCGGCCACGGCATCAACAAGACCTTCCATTGCCCGCCCAACATTCCTCACTACGCTAAGAACAGGGCGGTTGGCGAGTGCAAGCCTGGCATGACCTTCACCATCGAGCCCATGATTGCGCTTGGCAAGTACCGTGATGTCACCTGGCCCGATAACTGGACCTCTACCACCATTGATGGCAAGAGGACCGCTCAGTTCGGTAAGTGCTGTCATTGTGATGTCGTAGGTGTTGGCTGAAGTAGATCAACTAATTTCTGCTCAACAGAACACACTCTCTTGGTCACTGAGACCGGTGTCGAGATTTTGACGGCGCGCAAGGCCGACTCTCCTGGCGGCCCGGTACCCATGCCTACTGCTACTGCTGCTTGAGTGTTGGTAGGATGTTGAAAAGAAAAAGTGAGGTGTGTGCATCGTTATTGGATTAAAAAAAGGCGTTTTAGAGAGGGATTATGTTGTGGTATAGAATTTGTGCCGTAGCGTTCAATGCCTGAGTTGATACCCAGTGAGTTTATGGGAGACCCAAGGCCATGGCTACGGCTCTTTCGACTTTCATCCGAATCTTATTCTGGTTTTCATCCAGGTAGGTTTTCGAAATCTGATTAGACACTGATATTGGTTATGGCAGATCTGAGAGGTATGCTATATTGAAGTCTCATATTTCGAGAGGCACTTGAGGACTATGGTATCATGGGGCAGGACGGAGTTCCCAGACATGTATTCCGGAAGGGATTCGGGATTTGGAGTCCACGGCGGACTCGGCGATGGTTGTGGAGAACCGGGTCCGGAGCTCCACACAGACAGAGCCAGATGATAACTACTTGGAGACACTCTCGTAGTTTTACTGAATCTCAGTGTTAAAAGCGTTGGAACTTTTAAAGCCAATTTGAAGAATAGAGACTCAGGAACATTATAATAAGTGAGATCTGACAAGGGATGTTGAGCAGCTTGTTGAGAGCTCGAGTCTCTCTCCAACTCGATGCTTCGTCTTTATGCCGCTTTCGCCCCACCTCGGTCGGGCTTATAGTGGAGCTTCCAGGAGGAGAAGCTTGGGCCAACTTGGCCGCCCAACTGGCTCCAGGGGCAGTCTTGGCAACTGGGCTCGGGCTGGCAGTTCACGGCGAAAAGAGTGGAAGGAGGCTTTCATCATCGAGGAAGCCCCAGAGACAACGAGCTGGCTTGCCCCCCGACCAACGCCGGAGCACCAACCACCAACAACCCTCCACTCTTCCATCCAGAACCTCCAGCTGTCTCCACGCATCCAAGTGAGTCTTCCACCCCGAGCCCGAGCCACCTTGTCCAGAGCTTCACCACCTGCCAACTTCGCGACCGCCTTTTTCTCTTTTCCCAAAACACCAAAGAGATCAACAAGACGGCTTTTCCCAAGTCTATCATCCCAACTCTAACTTGACAGCCAGCTCCAAGTACAAGCACCGACACCGGCGCGCCCGAAGACACTCCCCTGTTCCCCCCCGATCGAACTCTATCGTCCGACTTCGATTCCATCATAATTGCGCACGCCATCTGTCGCGCACGTACAACATCTCGACCAAGCTCGCGCAAACCGAGTCCAACCAAATTACACCACTGAAGCTCTAGCTATCATCCGATAAGCAAACAACGGCCAAAATGTCGGGCGAGGCGTGGCTATACCTGTTTGCGGTGCTTATAAACGCCGTCAACCTCTTCCTCCAAGTCTTCTTCACCATCATGTACAGCGACCTCGAATGGTACGTTGGCTATCTATCCCCATTCTTTCTCAAGGGGTTCTACGAGCGCACGCACTGGATGGACTCGGCATCCCGCGTGCGTTGTGGCTTGCGCCCCTTTCTTCAGCAGACAGCTACTAACGGGACCTCGCAGTGATTACATCAACCCTATTGACCTCTGCAACCGCCTCAACACCTACATCATCCCCGAAGTCGCCGTCCACGGTTTCCTCACCTTCCTCTTCCTTATCAACGGTTACTGGCTGCCTCTCGTGCTCAACGTGCCCCTTGTCGCCTGGAACGTCAAGAAGTAAGTTTTCATCTGTCTAGAGAACAGCATAGACAGCTAGCGCGAACCGGGTAACTAACCATGCGGTACAGGATCGTTGACAACACCCATCTCTTGGACGCCACTGAGATCTTCCGCAAGCTTAACGTTCACAAGAAGGTACGTCATCAGCTCAACAAAACCAGCTGTGTCCGCTGTGGTGGAGCCCCCAGGAACTGCTTCTAACTGATCTGCGCGCTCTCTAGGAATCTTTCACCAAGCTCGGCTTCCACCTCATTCTGTTCTTCTTCTACTTGTACAGCATGATCGTGGCTCTCATTAGAGACGAAGCTCATTAGGAAACGGCGGTCGCTCGCTAAGCTGAACTGGACTTCTTGTTCCACACGATACCGCAACGAGGTCTCTCGGATGGGACGCAGAGCTTCCCTTATCGGAGCTTGTGCTCGCATGTCCGCCACCGTTATCTTTCTCGAGAGTACATAACGGCGCTGGGCACACTGGTACGCAGTACCTCAAACACACACATACAATACAAAAACCATATACAGTACAACCACAGGCAAGCAAGCAAAGCAGGCAGGATCCTCGGCGACGGGTGTTTGCAAAAGGGACGGAAACAGTTCATGAGTGAAACGCACGGACGACTTGATATAGATGGAATGGGATGGGCATGAAGCTATGAAGAGATGGGAATGACTTTCATTTGAGGAGGACGAACTGTACGGTTTTGGCTTCTTTAATGAGGAAGGAAAAGACCGACCGACGGTTGCCAGGGAGGTGACAACTGCCTTGCTGGGTGTCTCGGTTGGCAACATGACAGCTGGATAGACGGGGGAAAAGTAATGATAAAAAGAGTTTATAACCTCTTTTGCGATACCAATGGGTGTACGCTGGAGGATGAGGTAGAGGAGATCGTGTACTGTAGTTACTACTTGATGAAGTCTGTAATGAATGGGACGGGCTACGTCATGAATAACATGTGTGCTGTCACTGTCAAATGTCAATACCAAGGTAAAAAGCAGCACGGGCTAGTGTACGCATTGGAACAGAAACATATCCAGCGGTTTGGTTGCTTGTCGGACGTGTAGTGGAATGCGAACCCTCTTAAACGCGACCCTTTTCGTACAGAGGGGTGGAATCGAATACTCAGGCAAGACGTTGAGTATTTGAGTCAGAAGAGACAAGAAACAAAAATATGAGCTTGGCTCAACGCAACGCTGATCATTCGGCCCCTCCATCGAGCAAGCCTCAGCTCCAAAAGCTTGGTCCTTGCTGGCCGGGAACGACAGCCCGGTCAGTCGGTCGTATATGGTCCGTGCATGCCTACATCAGGGAAGCTCCACTCAGAACCTGAGGTCCACTGTTCCAGGCGTCAACCAATGCGCCTGCCGCCGACAACTCCAAGTCACATCCATTTCCATCTCCAAAACAACAAAAACATCAAAACATTTCAAGGTCCATCAAGCGTGCGGCTGGCGAGCAAGACATCACGACAACTCAGCAAGCCGCAGCCCAATAATACACACACTCAAATAATCATGGCCGACTTCAACGAATACCCAGCCAACCTCTCAGTCAAAGACGCCCTCATCGTCCGCCAAGTCGCCGAACCAGACCATGCCATCGTCCCCTACACCGGCGAGGATCTAAGCCGACCGCGCCTCGGGCCCGCCAACCCCTTCCGCGACGAAACCGACCCGACCTCCACCGCCGTCGGTGTAAAGAGGAAGAACGTCCTGACCGGCACCGCGGCCGAGACCTACATCAGCGAACACACCTTCCGCGCCAAGCACCGCGCCATTGAGCGCGGCGGCGGTCCCGCGCGCGAAGCACTAGGCAGCACGGCCAAGAAGGCAGCGGCTGCGAAGCTCAGGCAACAGAGAGAAGGGAGAGGAAGCGCGACGGTTGCGGATGGCGATGGCGCTTACGTCGGGCCGTGGGCGCGGTACAAAAAGCAGGAGTATGAGGAGGTGAATGAGGAGGAGCTGGGGAGCGATGAGGAATTTGAAATTGTCGAAGAAGAAGAGGAGGACGAGGAAGAGGTGGTAGAAAGCGGGACGGTAGTCAAGGCGCCGACGAAGAACTTGGCCAGGAGGAAAGAGGTCGAAGAGTTGGGCGAGGAGACGACGACGTTCCACGGCACGGAAGAGTTCGATTACCTCGGTCGGACGTACATGCACGTTCCGCAGGATCTGGATATCAGTCTCACCAAGGACGTCGGGAGCGTCACGAACTTTATCCCCAAGAAGCACATGCATACCTGGCGACACCACGCCGGCAAGCCGGTCACGGCGCTGCAGTTGTTTCCCAAGTCGAGTCACTTGGGCTTATCGGGCAGCACGGACGGCACCATCAAGATCTTCGATGTGTATCGCAATCGCGAGCTGTTGCGGACGTACGCGGGGCATTCGAAGGCCATCACGGACTTGTCGTTTAATAGGGACGGCACAAAGTTCTTGTCGGGCGCGTTCGACAGGTGGATCAAGCTCTGGGATACGGAGACGGGCCAGTGTGTCAACCGATTCAACACGGGCAAGACGCCGCATGTCATCAAGTTCAACCCGTCGGTTGATCAGGGCCACGAGTTCTTGGCGGGCTTGTCGGATAACAGGATCGTGCAGTACGATAGTCGCGCCGGGGAGGAGCCGGTGCAGGAGTACGATCACCACTTGGGCGCCATCAACACGCTCGAGTTTGTGGATGAAAGCAGAAGGTTCATGTCGACGTCGGATGATCGCTCGTTGAGGGTGTGGGAGTATGGAATTCCGGTTGAGATCAAGACTATCAGGTACTTATCCCCTTTACCCCTTTGCACCAACACCGATCAAATGCTAACACCCTCTACAGCGAACCCGACATGTTCGCCCTCACCAAATCCACTCAACACCCCTCGGGCAAATACGTCCTCTACCAATGCTCCGACAACTCTATCGTCGCCTACTCTTCGGCTTCCGACAAATTCCGCCAGAACCGCAAGAAGTCCTGGCGGGGCCACAACACCGCCGGCTCCGGCATCGGGCTCGTCTGCAGTCCCGACGGCCAGTTCGTCGCTTCGGGAGATACCGCCGGATATGTCTGCTTCTGGGACTGGAAGACGTGCAAGATGTACCACAAGATCCATGCCGATACCAGCGGCGGAGCGATCAACTGTGTGGTTTGGTCGCAGCAGGAGACGAGTAAGGTGTTTACGGCGGGGGCGAAGGGTGAGATTAGGATGTGGGATTAGACACTGCCCGGTAGTAGGCATCAGGGACGACGACGATGACAAGAAATTGAAGAGTGGTGTGTTTTAAGGGGGAAAGCAAGGAAGCAAAGAATGACTGAGCGAAGGGAAAAGATATTTACTACAGCATTGCTTGGCGTTGGGATATACATTTGGAAAAAGTTCAGTGTGTACGATTTATTTAGCTCCAAGGAGCGGATACCAAAGAAAAGACCGGCGGGTAGCCGATATTCTATTATCAATCACCGGACGGGTGATCATCCATCGATTGCACATTGGACACACAATGAAGATGTGGCACTGGCTGGTACATCAAGATCCTCCTTGATCCATCTGAGTAATTCACTCTGATCCCCTAAATGTCTGTCCCCTTATGCACAATAGTATTGAGGTTTTGCTGCTAGACAAACATGAACACTACTTCATAGCTAAGTCAAGTGTATGTTGTCTATGTGTACATCGCGGTCTAAACATTCCCTCGTTTGTAGTCCCAATCAGCATGACCATCTTACGCATCTTGCCTGTATTGCCACTTTGATTGGAAAGTCACGGCAAAAGCTTTACACACTTAAGAATAAAATGGTTCATGGCGCAGACTAAGGGAATGGTGGCTTTTACTCTAGACAATCAAAAAAAAGAAAGAACAGGCAAAAAGGCAAAAAGTCCAAAAGGTATGGACAATACCGGATTGGAACCGCGTATACCGCCTACTAAGCAGGAACTCATCCAATCATACTTTCCTTCTTTTCATACCTGCCCTTCGTCGTAGCTGCCTCTGCCCCGCTACCTTTCCGGCCGCCGCTCTTTCCTCTCGCCAGTTTCGGTTGACTTGTTGACGCAACACCATACATCATCGACAGAACACCAAAACGCCAAAACCGATAAAGTCTGGTGCAAACTGGAGTTGAATCCAGACGAACAAAAAGAAACACACACCACATCCGGCCGTCCGAAAAACATTATCAAACCTAGAATGATTATGCAAATATATGCAAAAAGCATGGACAATGCCGGATTCGAACCGGCGACCTTTCACAAACGTATTTATGGAATGCGAAGCGAAAATCATACCCCTAGACCAATTGCCCATTGGAAGTTATTGACGTGTCCAATACTAGCTACTATAACTCCTTTGTTAGTGTCCACGGGAGATCAACACTGCAGACCTACAACCTCACTTCGTGTCACTTGTCTGGGTAAGGGAACATGATGCTTGATGGACACTGCATACTTGCCGGGAATCTCTTCACGTGTATAAGATTGATAGTGTCTATGTAGAGCTACAGCACGGAAAGTGATTACTTGCAAAATCATATTTTCACAAAACACATTGTGGCGGTGGGGATGGAGCTGCAATGATCAGATGCCCGTGTCGTCCAAGCCTAGATCAGCCTGACCGTCTACTGCGGCTTCCAAAAAGCAAGGTCGTTAGTGTAAAAGTGGGAGCATATGAGTAGAGAAAACCGATTAACTACATAAGTACTACAAAACATGCCTGATGGCGCCCTAAATCCATACTCTTAATTCCTGGCGTGAAGTGTTCGAAGCAAAAACCTTCAAAATCTAGAGCTATCCCCAGCAGATGTCATCCATATCGATCGACCATCCACCAACGAGACAAAGTCGGTGCTGTGGTGTCTGTGAATGACCCGACGTAATATGCTACTCTAGCATCCTCGAAAACACCATCATTCCATGAATCCCATGACGGGGTCTAGCCCTTGGTACCTCTAACAATCAATCTTTGCTCCTTTTGCCTTGACTTTGGAGGGTCAATCCATCACTCCCGTCGGCGCTCCGGCACACCCCGACTCCGTCAACTCCTAAACGCCTTCTTGCCCATCCATTTCCGATGCCGTATACAAGCCAGCTAGCTACTATGGTAGCTACGCAGCCAGTCTAGTCGGCTCAATAGGTAAGTACCTCTAGCGCATGACCCAAACCCAGCCACCCAGTCTCAGTCTTCTCAGACTTTTCAGTAACCAATCAGCCGGTTACCATTGACCATGCCATGGATGTTCCTCTGCACCTGCTCGAACCGCATGGCGCCGCACTTTTCGCTCTCGAGGTGGTTGATGATAGCAGCCAGCGTCTTGAAGTCCTGGCGGCACGAGCGGTTGGGGCAGTGGTAGAGGTTCTGCTGGTGAGCAGGCGAGTTCAGATGCTGATTCAACCCGTGCATCGTTCCGAACCCCCTGTGGCACAGATAACACTCCCACATGCGTCCGTTCCAGGCCCGGTCGGTGCAGCTGTACGTGTTTTGGGAGCTGCCCTCCCACCCGATGAGCTTCTTGGAGATCAAGCCCGAAGGGTCCTTGGACCGTACGAACTTGTAGATGGAGTCGCGGTTCAGCGAGGGGGCGTTCCGGCAGCTGCCGCTCTCCAGGTGGTGTGTCATGCCCGTGGCGGTGGTGTAGCTGTTGGGGCAGAAGGGGCACTTGATGTCTTGGCCGCGATGGATGCGGGAGTTGAGGTGCTAAGTGATACGAGTTAGTTAGCCAGTCTACCTAAACTTGGGGGATGGGGGGGTTCATGATGGGTTTCCGGCTCGGTGCCAATGCCCTTAGCAAGATACTTGTTGAAGTTGAGCGAGTCGTCGAATACATACCTGCTTGAGGTTGTTGATGCTTTGGAAAGAGCGATCACACGCTTTGCAATAAAAGTGCCGCTCATGTTCGTGCGTGATGCGTGCCTCCTTGCTGCGTGACCAGTGGTAGCAGACACGGCACTCAAAGCCAAAGTGATCCTCCTCCCCCATGTGCTCTAGGCAGCTTTCCTCGTCTCTCCACCAAAGAGTGCAGATGTTGCAGCCAAACGCTTCCTCATCAGGCTCATGGTACGAGGTGTAGTAATCATTTTCCCGGTCGCAATGCTTATCGAGAGCCGCCTTATCATAATAGCCGGCGTTACAATAATCGCAAGGGTAGACTGTGCGGACCATGCTGGCGGTGTTGGCGGGGTTGGCGGGACGGATATCGCTGGCTTGAAGAAGAGAAGGGCGAATTTCCTTGATGAATTTGAGGGGATAACGACTTGATGAGCGAGCGTAGCGTGCGTGATTATGTCCGCGGGATGTATCGAATCAATGGCGGCGTCGGTCTATCTTATACAGAAACAGACCGGAAGAGACGAAGAGAGTGTCGAAGGGTGCAAACGTGGAGATTTTGGGTATTTTAAAGGAAGACCAAACCTCTTTTTGCGGGGAAGGTAAACGAGGGCGTTTGTTCTTTTCCTGAAAAGGAAAGAGGAGAATGGCGCATGCCATTCACTTGACATGAGATACCAACATCGAAAATGACTGTAGGCTTCACGTATGAATGTGGCTGGATAAGCTGTAAGCGGCTGCAATAGCTAGATGCAAAGGAGGAGGGGAATCCTTGCTTCTTGATCAGCGATTGGCTCGATGTACCAGACGCATCCCGTACACTCCATGACTTGTCAAGTTGTTGTCCGGTTTTGCTGTGGTGGTGAGAAGTCGCTGGCTGATATATTGAACCAATTGCCGAACACACGGAAGTCTCGTGGCCCCGACGACCCCCAATTCACACAAGTGGCCGGCTCCGGAACGGGACACGGAAGCCCCGCATCTGACCGTGACCGGCACGTCTTTGCAGCCAACTGCTCAAAACACTCTTGACTCTTGGAGATGCACCCTGACAAGCCTTCTCGACCATCAGACATATCTGGAGGTCCGGCAGTCCACGAATGGTAGACAGTGCAAGTTCATTTGCGAAGTAGCCGTCATAGAGTTCATCTCTTCCTATGTTCATACGTGGACTGCCGCGTTGAGTCAGCCACCGCTTTCCTTCCCTTGCAATTATATACATGTACAACATTAACCCGTCCCATCTTCGGTCGGTCATCGTTCTCAAGAACCGACCCATCGTACAATTCCTCCAGTCCTGGCTATCTTTCAAGTCCAGGAGTGTCCCGTCCCTAGTGGTATCTCCATCAATCCACAAGTCTACCCATCCATCCATCCCACCAATTCATCCCAGATTATAAATCATTTCAAACTGGCATATTTCAGCAGCAACAAAGAAAGAAGAAGGAAAAATCGACAAGAAAAACCCAAACCCAGCCAGACAACCCACAAAAGTTCCTGTTAAAGGATAACCCCTTCTTGCCGTGCATGCAACAAAAACCCATACCCATACCCATAAACACTTTAAGCCTCCTTAACCGTTTTCCCCTGTCCACTACTCTCCACCGGCCTGATATCATCACTTCCAACCCCGCTCGCGCTAAAGCTTCCCTTTTCCGCGCTTAACACACCCGCCTGCGCACCCTCCGTCGAGAGGGCCACGCCGGCAGGCAACCCCTCGACGCTCTGGTCATCGATATCCTCAAACTCAAAGGGGATGATCAAGTTCAAGAACATGGTGAAAAGCGCAGTAACAGCGAAGCCGGTCCCCATGATGAGCTCGATGGCGTCCAGGAAACCCTGGAGGGACTTGTTGTCGCCGGAGTAAGTGAAGAAGGTGGCGAAGTAGGTTGGTACGAGAGTCGCGCCATAGCCGAGAGCCAGACCGGCGGTCAGGATGAAGCGGTTGCGGCGGTTGAAGGGGACGCCGCGGGTGATGATGGCGATGCCGGAGACGGCGACGGAGGTAAAGAGGAAGGTGGTCATGCCGCCGATGACGGAGGCGGGGATGGCGACGAGCGAGGCGGCGAACTTGGAGAAAATGCCCATGATGATGAGGAAGAAGCAGCAGCAGAAACCGGCGGTGCGGTTGGCGCATCGGGTCAGGGCGATGACGCCGTTGTTCTGGGCGAAAGTCGTCATGGGCGTGATGGTGCACAAGGCGGCGAGGATTCCGTTGATGCCGTCCGCCAAAACACCACCCTGCACTCGGCTCTCGTAGATCTCGCCCTCGACTTCCAGACGGGAGACGTCGCAGGTGGCGGTGATGTCACCGACGGCCTCGCAGGCGCAGACAAGATAGACGGCTAGTAGTGGTAATACCAGCGGACCGTACACCGTGAGCTTGAAGGTATGCACCCACATGAAGGAAGCAACAGGAGCGGCGTCGATGCTGGTGCGGTCAAAGTAGCCGCAGGCAGCAGCGACGATGCAGCCGACGAGCAGACCGAGAATGACGCTAGTGGACTTCATGATGGGGGAACCAAAGCGCTCGCAGAGGATGATGGTGACGAAGGCGAGGAAGCCAAGACCCAAGTACTCGGCCGAGCCCCAAGGGAGAGCGTGAGGGGCGCCGACGTTGGGGCACACCGCGAACTCGGGGAGAGGGTTGGCGTCAGCGCAGGAGCCGGAACCGCCGGCCCAGTCCTGGAAGCCGGACTTGATCAAGCTGATGCCGATGAGCATAACGGTGGGGCCGGTGACAATGGGCGGGAACATGCGCAGCATGTACTTGGGCGGCAGGAAAGAGAGCAGGACTTCGAGCAAGGCGCAGACGGCAGCTGTGCCGAGGATGGCTCCGTAACCGTCGGGACAAGGCAGACGGGTGCCGTCTTCGGCGACGGGGCACATGCCGTTGGCGTACATCTGGTTGAAGCCACCGATGGCAACGGGGATGATGGAGAAGGAGATGCCGACGACGGAGATCAGACCGGTGCCGAGGTAGTAGGGCGTCTTCAGGATACGGAACCGGACTATTTGGATCATGGACAGCAGGCCGGAGACGATGAGGGCGCTAGAGACGAGATACTGGGAGTGTTCGGCGGTAAAGTTGGCGCCAGCTCCTCCAGCAATAATGATGGGGGGAGTGATGATGCCAGCTAACATGGCGAGAGAGTGCTGGAAACCGAGGATGAGAGCGAGGAGGACGGGCATCTTGTCGTTGAGGCCGAAGAAGACGGCGGGCCTGTTGGTCTTCCTCATGAAGGGCAGGTTGGGCCGGAAGAGGAAGCCATAATCATAGTCGCCTAGCCATCCATCCTTGGTGCAAAAGGTATGGGTGAGGGTTCGTGTGAAGTCAGTTACACGGTCGCCGATGGTCCTCTTTGGTATCGCATGAGGGGCGATGTGGGAGGGACCCTGGTCCTCATCCATGGCTGCGGTTTGTGATGAGGGTGTCGAGAGGGTGTTTCAACCCTACACTTAGTGTTCAAGGGGTTGCCGGAAGGGTGTTTTTATAGTCGATTGGCAATGGTGGTGATGGTGGTTGATATATAGGATGATGACGACTTGGAGTCGTTGACGATGGTACGGAATGAGGGGCTTCTTCTGGTGAGCCAATTGCAGAGGGCGACTAACAAACAATGGGGATGAACTTGAAGAACTAAAGGATGACTTGGAATGCAGCGGCACCGGGACGGTGATATATCGTTTCCTTGATTGACGATTTGATGGCGGGGGGCAACCAACAAATGCGTCCAGACGGGCGTGGTGCCCCCCGAACTTCGAAAGGAGGAGGAAAGATTCTCTCGCCGCCCTGAGTGCGTAAAATACTTTTGTCGAGTATCCGCTCGTACGGGGCAATGGGGGCTCGGGGACCCCATCGGAGAACGGGTCCTGTTGCGGAGCCAGGAACGGA